TTACCGGACTGTCCTCCGGCTGACAAGCGCAACAGCAGCATCATCGCTGTGACTGCAGTCAGTCAGTTCAGTCAGTCAGCTTCACCCCTCCCTCTACTTCTACTCTTCCTCATTTCAGTTACTACTCCTCACTCAACTCACTCATTCAATCATTCCGTCACTTTATTACCTACCCACCACCTTATCCATTGCTTTTCTTAAATCTATCTAAACCCTCTCCAAACCGAGAGAAATTACTTAACAAAGCCCCCCCTCCCGAGCATCGAAAGCAACATGCAGTCCCCACCATGACCTCCCGCGAAGATAGTGTCCTGGCCGCCAGAGACCCCTCCCTCACCGACGAAAACGACTGGGAAGAGTTCAGCCTGTCGGAAGTTCGAGTCCTGGTTCCGGGCAAATCCCGCTATGCGAATCTGTTGACTGCCTCGCCGGAGAATCCGGTCCAGGTGACGGGGTGTTTGGATGAGGTGGAGGAGGAGCAGGAGAAGCTAGGTAAATCACCTCTCACTTTCTTATTCCGCTTTGTTTGTTATTCTGGTGGGCATGGAGAGGGTGTGTAAAGCTAACTATGGTTGCAAAGTGCTCGACCCAGAATACTTGACGAAACGCATCGTTCTCGAAAACGTCACCCACTTCGCCTACGGACAACATAATGACGGGGAAGTCGGGTTCTGGGTGGCTGGGAAGGCGGGCTGGTTCTCGATATCTCCGGCGAAGGGGTATAAAGCCATCTTTAATGATGTGGTGGAGGCGATTGATTTGTTGTATTTCCTGGCGGATCGCCATCAGTCGAAGAGGAGGAGGAAGAGGAGGAATTGGAATCCGAGTGTTGAGTATTTGTGTGAGGAGGTATGTTCCCATTTCTTTCTTCTGTGCTTTGGTGGATGTTGGTTGCTAATGTTTGGTTGGATTGGGATAGTATGTGAGCCATACGCATGGGATTTGCGAGGATGCGGATGATTCTGCAGAGGTGTTCTATAAACATCACGAATTTCTGCTCTCGAGGATGTTGAAGGGCGAGGAGGATGTGCAGTGGACTACTACGTGCATCTTTGAGCATCTGTGCGAGAAGTTTCCGGTATGTCGTCTTTCCTTTTTAAAGGAGGGGGTTGGAGTGTGCTAATTGTGTAGGATGATTACGAGCAGATTAAAGCGCAGTACGAAGGCGCGAAGGAGGTAGAGTCGGAGGAAGAAGAGGAAGATGAACAAGAGGAAGACAAGGAAGAGGACGAGAATGAGGACCAGGATGAGGCGGAAGCACAACCAGATACATCTGGACTATCGAAAGACCAGGCAGATGCTATTTACAAGGTCATTCTCGATCTCAAAGAAGCAGGATACCTGGCCAAGCGACAATTGACCTTCGAACTCCTAATCAACACCCTCATCGAACGCTTCGCAATCGACAGTACCGACTACGCACACGACCTTGTCGGTGCACGGGCCGAAGCGATCATAGAAATGATGGACGAGGCGAAAACATACAACTTTGACTGGTCTCGCAAGGTTATCTACCGCGAGCTCAAAGCCGCGGCCAAGAAAAACAGAGTTCAGCAAATTACGCTCACCCCGCTGCGGCCTCGCCCGACCGAGGACGATGAATCGTCCGGAGAAGAGAGTGAGCATGAAGACCATCCCCGACTGCGCAGACGCAGGGTCCACAAGTCGGTTTTGCGACCGAAGAGCTCTGTTGCCACGAAGCAGACCGGAAAACGAACACGAAGTGCAGTCGACGACCAAGATGACGACTCGGACGACAACGAAGATGCAATGGACGAGTTTGAAACTCCAAGCAAAGTCCGCGGACATGATCTCGTTCGCGACCCGTTGTCGACCCGCGCGAAGCGCAGGACGCGGTCGCTTCTGTACGATGCAACCCCAATCCAAAAGACGCCATTGCAAGAGACGCTTCAGAGCCGGAACACGTCTGTTTCCGGGGCGGACCGTGAGACAAACGCGGATGCATCAGATTTGGAAGGCAGCCATGAAGATGATATAACATCCGATACCTGGACATGTCACGTTCGAGGCTGCGAAAAGGTCATCCACAAGAGCAATTCCAAACGTGGCAAGGAGCTGATCCAGGACCATGCCCTGGCTCATGCGGATGATACTAAAGCGAAGATCGATCTGGTCTTTGCTGAACAGAGACTCAACATTGGACTTCCTGTTGATAATCTCCTCAGTCGTATCAGAGAGTTGGGCGCATTTGATACCGAGCATCCGGTGGATGGCGCCTTCACTAATGGAGTGAAGACATAATCAGGCATCAATGCGATGCAACAATTTAGATACAATTTCTGTGCACAGATGATGTGCGTGTGCAGTCTACAAGGTATGTTGCTTATTGCTTCTACATTCAATGACAAGCTTACATTTCTCTAGTTGCGTAGCTCGCAGCACTTACGGAGTCAGGTTAGCGGCGTTGAGTGGCATGATACATGGCGGGTGGGATTCTGCTTCTTGAGATATGATGTGATACCAGAGATACCAGCATAATGAAGTCCCCTACTCAGGTTCAGCTAGATAGACAGTCACCATTCCATGATTATCAATATACAAATCAAACTGTCTATGGAAACACTGCTTTTATAACCCGACCGGTATCCGACAAGCTAACAATAAACCAAACCATAAAGAAATGTACAGCGAATGGAATCAAGAACGGCCCTTAGCAGCAGCCCTCCTGCTCTTGCCAGGCCTCTTCGCACCACCGCCCTTAGGACCACCCTTCATCTTCTTGACCGAGAAGTCACGCATATCACCACTCGAAACAGCATCACCACTCTTAGAAAAGCGCTTCTTACCACCAAACCCGAACTTCTCATTCTTCTTCTGACGCTTCATCGACGGACCACCCTCAGCATCACGACCGCGCTTGCGACCACCACCAGCCTGAGCCGCATCATCAATAGCGACATCGAACATGTTGGACGAATCATCCGTAGGACCGCCAGTATCAGCCTTGCGCTCTGCACAAAACAGTTAGCCACACAAACCAACCAATTCCAAAAGGAAACTGAAAATGAAAATCGTAAGAACATACTCTTCTTCAACGCATTGATCTTCTCCAACGTCTCCCTCTTCTCCTTCGCCCTCTGCTGCAACTTCGCAACCTGCACCTGTTTACCAAACTTCTTCAAATCACGCTGCTTTCTCGCCTCAGCCGCGGCCTTCTTCGCCGCCGCCTCATCATACAACTTCTTCTTGATCTTGCCCATGTGCTCATCCGTCTTCACCATCTCGGCAAAGTAATCGCCCGGTCGCGTAAACGGCACGCCTTCCTTCTTGAGCATGCTCCGCGCCGTCATCGCCGCCGCTTGGCATACCTTGTAGAACGCCAGTTCGCGGTTCAGGTCGTCGTTGGCGTCGGGGACCTCAATCGGCTCTTGGGAGACAAGACTGTTGTGCTCGGAGAAGGGCGTCGCGGGAGTGAGGAAGGAAATGCGTTTCAGACTGCTGGTGATGGCGGCACTGTTGTTGATTGTGAGGCGCTGGTGCGTGACGACGTCTTCGCGCTCATCGTCCTCCAGGTCGCTGAGGGGGATGTCGGATTCTTCTTCTTCTTCGTCTTCATCATCATCATCTTCTTCTTCTTCCTCATTTTCGGAGGGTTCTTCGGCGTCGGGGGTTTCTTCCTCTTCGGACTGTTCCGAAACTTCCTCCTCTTCCTCCTTCTTCTTCTCCTTCTTCTCTTCAACAACCGATTCCTTCACATCATCACCCTTGGTAGAAGTGTTCTTCTTCTTCGCCGCCTTAACCAGCTTCTTCTGCTTCTCGGCCTCGTAGTCGCGACCGCGGTGCTCGTCCAGAGCCTGAAGGAGCTTGCTGCGCTTAGGCATGGTGAATTATAATATGTGTGGTGTGGGTGGAATTGGGGGTGTTGTTGGTATGGTGCAAAGCTGCCGGCTGGAACTTTGCTTGCTGCAAATCAATGGGAATATTTTTTTGGGGAGATTTGGTAGCGCTAGGGATGGATTGGGTTTAGCGTTGTGGGGTTGGGGGAGGAAGGTTGTTCCGTTATCGCGGATGGGTTATCGATAAGGGAGGGTGTGGTGATAAGGGGATGGATGGGATAGATGGGGAGGAGCGGTGATTGATGAGTTTAATTATGATGGGGGGTTGGGTTGATTGTGTTTGATATTGTGATGATGGGCATTATGTGAATGTGATTAAGATGGGGATTGGTAGTTTAGGAGCATGTCGACTTTCATTATCCATGATAGAAGAAACTTGTTACCCAACTATATATATCTGGGATAGGGCAATCCCTTCTGCTGTCCGTTCTTGTTCAACATTTCTACTCTACTTTGACAGCTCACACACTAGGAAATCGCAATCTATAAACCCTTGGCATCAGTCCTGGCCCTCTTTGATTCCGGGGGAGGTGTCACTACTCGGTGCACCTGAACAGCGCCAGTCTACAGGCGTCAAGTATGGCACGTTCATGAACTTCCTGCTAGTCAAATAGGACAAATATAGTCTATCATCGCTAGTCTAATCAGACAAGCCCAGCCTGCCTTCATCGACCCGCTTGTATCAGTCACCAGTTCTCAGTGCTAGTGCTATATTGAGGGATATATGTATGCATTGCGTCCAGTCAGCCAGAAGATGGAGAGAGATGTGTCCCAACATAATCATTATCAGCCCTGAAACAATGATGGTACCTCCTTCCTTTCTTGATGCTGGTGTAGTGGTAGTATCCCCATTCGGATATCCTCGAATCTGCAGGCATTCAGAATGCTCAAACATCTTCAACAAAGGCTGTGCGTCAGAAAGACAAAGAGAGCTACTCCTGGGGAGGACATGTCCTCTAGTAAATGGTTAGCGTGTCGAGGGTGCATCATTAGCGCCGCACCATCATTTTGGCGCACTCCGCACTTCTTGACCTGAATGCAGCTCGTAAGGATACCCAATGACTACCCGAGCTACCACGAATAACTGAGAATATTATACACTAGCACGACCACCACCTCATCTTGAGCCTGCTACTTTCCAGAATGCCGTTGTCATACAACAAGTTAGACCCCAGTGCCAAACAAATTCGTCTTTTGACTATCTTTCCGGATGAGAATGACGAGAACCTTGTTCGAGCATCTCTCCACACCGCGTCTCTCAATGATGCCTGCGACTTCGAAGCCCTGTCCTACGTATGGGGCGACACTTCTGTGACCGTTGACATCTCGGTTGATGACTGTATAGTCGGTGTAACAGCGAATCTGCATGCTTTCTTGTGGGGACTTCGCCAGCCTAATTCAGAACGCATGGTGTGGGTTGATTATGTCTGCATCAATCAGAACGATATCTCGGAGCGGAACTCGCAGGTTGTCTTGATGTATCAAATATATTCAACTGCCAGGTCGGTGGTTGCTTGGTTGGGAGATCTGGAGCCGGAAGCACTGGAGCTCATCGAGTGGTATCATGCCAACCAGAAGGGGTTTTACTTCGAAAGCACCGGTCTTGATCTTTTCGAAGCTATAGTAGTGCTCTTGGTATCTGCTAAAGCACTGTGTGCCGCGCAGTATTGGCATCGGCTATGGACATTCCAAGAGTGGCATCTCTCAAGAAATGCCGTTGTATGCATGCATGAAAAAAACGACTTTTACCATAGGGAACATCTTCAAGCAATTGAACGATGAGATCGTCCTTGTCAGAATCATTGTTATGGTTTTTACCTCAGGGAGTACAACATTGATAGGAAATACAGACGAGACGGAAGATCTTTACAATGTCATTTGTTTCCTCCTTGAAAGGCAGCAAGAACTCGACAGTCTCTTGAATAAGATCCCTCGAGATATTCTGCTCCTCAATCCAGATACCCCGCGTCCATCTGGACTTGGAGACTTGCTATTACTTACGGTTGACCGGCATTGCAGTAATCAACTCGACAATGTATATGCGTTATATGGGCTTTCTCCGGGGGCTAGGGAAGCATACCCTCCCGACTATCGAAAGACCATCAGCCAGGTCAATCATGAAACAACGTGCTTTGTCTTGGGACACGAAGCCAATATAAGTATATTCGATGACTTTGATTTTTGTTTCAACTCCTCTAACAAGGACGACTCACTCCCTTATGGGTTGTCGACTTTACCACGACGGATCCGGCGCATCGAGCAAAGATGCAACAAAACTTTTCCAAATCATTGCATGAGGATAAGGCTCCCTGGAAGCCAATTCAGGATCATGCCCCTATAGTTACAGATAATATGCACACACTCAAGCTCTGGTGTCAGAGGATAGGAGTTGCCTCTCCTCCATACTTGTTTGACTCACCAGCCTTGGACTGTCTTGGGCAGGTACAGGTGCTTGCCAAAACCGCCGCAACGCCCGATAATATATTCGAAGCTACTTATCACTACACTGGTTGCCCCGCTTATATTATAGAGGATAAATTCCTCGATATCATGAAAATTTCTGTCTCTGATGAGCATGAAAAGTTTCTGGAGGCAACGAGAGGATCTCTCCCAGCGCTTCGCCTCTGTTTTGAAAAGCTTACAGAAAAGCGACTTTTTACGATTGCCACCTCAACTGGAAGGAGTATTGTTGGCTTTACGGGTTGTGAGATTGAGGAAGGTGATCATATTGTCGTCCCCTGTGGCATCGTCCAAGTGTTTGTTCTCCGCCCTATCCCAGAGAAGATGCTTGTGGATGGTGAAAAGGCCCAGTGCTTCAAGTTGATTGGGCGGGCTTTCCTCGAGAGCATATCACATCCAACGGCAATTGATCCGGAACTTCTCCGTCCTGAATTGAGAGGGACACCTACTACACAGTTTTGTCTTCGATGAATGATTCTGGAGAGGGTAGACAAAGGCGTAACTCACTGCTGCGTGAGATAATCCCCAATATATAGGCATGTACACTACACCCCAATGAAGGCTGCAAGTTTTCTCTATTTGAGGAACATAATATAGAAATACTGCCATGAGACTACCATAATAAGCATTGTATGCTAGTCTGTAATCAAGAACAGGCCACATCTATCATTGATTCGATAGGACTACACGCGTATATAGGCTTTTAGGATATACAAGCCACATACCACATGACAAAGACAAAAAAATGGAGCTGCGGGGAATCGAACCCCGGACCTCTCCCATGCTAAGGGAATATTATACCACTAAACCACAGCCCCATTTGATGAATATAGTAATAACTCTAGATTCTCTTTCAGCCACCCCCGGAGTGATCGGTGCTTACTTTGGCAGATTTGGTGGATAAGGGGAGGAATGGGATTAGTGTGAGGCATGATTTCAAATTGCGAGGGATGAGGGGGGTGGGGGGCGCGCTGGTTTGGTGTCTAGATAGAATGGAATACGTAATATCACTATTATCATAGATATTCATTCAAAACCCTGGTTTTCTTAGTGATATTTGCCCGCGCAATATCGATATCTACTGAGGCTACACACTACTCCATTCAGCTCATTACCTATCATGCTGCTTCACCCCGTCCCACCACCGCCAGAACGTTGCCACTCGACGCGAGGTCTGACTTGCCTTGCTGGAGGCGGCTTAGCGAAGTAGTCTGTGACTTCGGGGATGCCGGTTGAGTGTATAGAACAACCGAAAAGATATACTGTTGTGATGAAGCATTCCAGAAGAATCTGTTGGGGACAAACTCACACAATGCATCGAACTCAAAGTAGTACACTACCAAGCCCACCTCAAAAAAGACATAACCAACAAAACGTAGTGAACACCAAGAAAAAGGTTTGCTGTAGCTTACTGGCGGTGGCAATGAGGACAAACCTGGCCCTGCATAGGGCTGAATACATCGACTCTTAATGCATCTGATTCTTTTCAGGTCATCCTATAGATAGAGGACGGCTTATCAGAACTCTAAACCCCCTAACTGCAAGGGACATTCCACGCACCGTTTGTTCAGACGGAGTCTCCGCCTCTGTATGCAGGACACCAAATCTAGTTCAAACTCTGTCCCTCCCTACCCATGCCATAGCCGTTTGTGATACGCGGACGGAAGGACCGAGAATACTATGCGATACAAGGGGACAAGACTTGACATGTTGTGACACTGGCGCCATGAGCCAGAGAGGGTAGGGTATTAAACTCGGTAATGCAGCAGAATGATGATGAAAGGGTCTATCTACAGGACGCTGCATAGGGCTGCATTATGCGGGGTTTGTCCCCTTGGTAAATGGCATGTATACTTCGGTGATTCCGAACTCTCAACCAACCTCGCGATAGCTTTCTAGCTGGTATAGATGTTAGATGCAGTGTAGAGATTTCAGTATACTCAACAGTCCCAACACATTCAGTCCTTATCCAAGGATGACGATACACACAATATACCTCCCATTACCAGACATATATAGCCCTAAGGTCATCACACTGCCGATAACCATCCACCCAAGTCCAATCTACACCATCATCCACCTCAATACGAGAAACAATCATCACCACAATGAATCCCACCCACACAAACAACCCCCTCCACCTCCACCACCTCCCCACCCTAATCTGGCACTTCACCGAAAGCAACATCCCAACCTTCGTCCTCCCCAACTCCGCCTTCGGCTTCCTGGGCGCCCTCTCCGGCCCAGCCCTAACCACCTCCCCCACCCCCCCCCACCTATCCACCCTCCTCCCCCGCCTCCCCCTCCTAATCCTCTTCAACTGGGCCCTCGTCTTCATCTTCGACCTCTCCAACCAACGCCTCCCCGAATCCATCCACGAAGACCACCTCAACAAACCCTGGCGCCCCCTCCCAACCAACCGCATAACAGCCGACCAAACGCGCCGTCTCCTTCTGGCTACCATCCCCATCGTCCTAGGCATCACCTACACGCTAGGCGTATGGCAAGAAACCTGCCCCATCCTGATCCTCACCTGGATGTATAATGACCTGAAGGGGTGCGATTAACTTATTCGTGATGGTATTATCGCTGTTGCTTATGGGTTGTATAATATTGCGTCGCTGAAGATTGCCTGTACCGGGGACGAGGGGGAGATACAGCCCTCTGAGCAAGGGTATCTCTGGACGGTCGTGATCAGCGGGGTTATCTTCACGACGATGCAGATTCAGGATCTGAAGGATATGGCGGGGGATCGCACCCGCGGGAGACAGACGGTTCCGCTGGCGTTCGGGGAGGGGTGGTCCAGGTGGTCTATTGCGGGGTTTGTTGTCGGGTGGAGTGTTTTCTGTACGTGGTTTTGGGGGTTGGAGGGGTGGGTGTGGTATGTGGTTGTTGGGGGTGTAGGGGGGTTGGCTGTGGGGAGGGTGTTGATTGGGAGGACGGTGATGGGGGATGCGGCCGCGTGGAGGTTGTGGTGTGTGTGGTTGATGGTGTTGTATGGGTTGCCTTGTTTGGGGGGATGGGGTGGGAGTGGGAGGGTTTGGTGTAGATGATTTACTAGATGGGATAGGGATTGGGTTGAGGGTTATTGGGTTTGTATGCTGTGATAGATATTCGCAGTTTATTTATTCATTAGCAGTCATTGGATGATGTACGAGTTTAAGGATTTATTAGTGAATTGTCAGTATTCCCCGAAGAGGTAATTATTCAATGCAGTGTCTGTGATGGACAGACTTGAAACGAATAGAGTAAGTGGGTATCAGTACTGCAATCCACAGAATAGGGATAACTGCACATGTCTGGTGAGTCTAACATCAATAACATTGGTGGACGGAGGAATGGCAACTGGTTGCGGAACGGGGATGTACCTTAGAATTGATTACATGCAGGTAGCAGCTTCTTTGTTCACTACCTATATCCATGAGATGATAGAATAGATGAACTCAAATGTATACTGACATCTACTGCTACCCTACAACAACAGCATCCAAACAGTATCCGCGCCCCCAACTTACACCCGATAACTCTCTAATACGTATACTTAAACCCAGCCAACCCCTCAATCGGCTTTCCCCCACGATCAACCCGCTTATTCGCCCGCCAGAACTTGACGCTGAGTCCCGCCACAACCACGATAATCAGCGCGTTAGCGATCATCGTAGTCAGCAGCCCGGGTCGGTAGTTCGGCGCATCTTGGGCCCTAAAGACTGTTGTCCCGATGATGCCTCCGATACTGCCCCCGCCAATGAGGGTAGCGGATGTGAATGCGCGTTTCCATTGGCCGCGGACGTTGTTACTAGTTCGCTGCATTAGCTTTGAGTGATAAGATATAGAAGGGGGGGGCTACCTTTGCCATGAGACTAGCGCTGGACAGTTCGCGTTCGCTATCCATCCATCAGCATGACGATTATACTTTCAAGCGAAGGAAACTCACCAGCAATAGTCGCCAGAAATACCCCAAAATACCGTGGCCCTGACTCCTTTAGATACCCCAACAGCGCAAGCCCCAGCAGCCCCATGGCAGCATTCGCAGCAATGATCGGCCCCCTCAGGTGCCATCTATCGGCATAGACCGCCTGGGTGTACATCACTATCGCCGCTGCCACATACGGCGGAGCCACCAGACACTGGGCCTTTGCTACCGAGAACCCCATACTATCTTCCAGAATGATGGGAAGGAAGTAAGCGATGGAGTAGCTGTTCGCTGTGGTGAGCATATACATGGCAGCGTATGCCCAGACCTTGCTATCTGCACCGCTGCGGAGGTAACTTTTCAATGTGAATGGCTCCATGTAGACGTCTGATCGGTCATTCTCGATGGTAGCTACCACGTAGGCGGCCTCGGATTCGTTGAGGAAGTGCCATGACTTGGGGGATTGTTCGGGGAAGTCGACAAGGATGGCGTAGGATCCGATGCCCATTACGCAGGTCAGGATGCCTTCGATCTGTGGTGGTCTGCATTAGTGTTTGTCTGTAGGGTCTGTGGGGTAGGGGCAGTACAATGAAGATCCATCTCCACCCGGACTTGCCGCCGAGTCCATCCATCTGCATCAGTCCATATGCGAGAATACCGCCGAATCCGGATGCCGTACTGCCAATCAGATAGAAGAGGGCATTCCGCTTCTGTAGTTCGAAGCGAGGGTACCAGGTACTAAGGAGGTAGACGCATCCTGGGTAGAAACCGGCTTCCAGGGCACCAAGAATGACCCGCAGTCCAGCCAGCACTGGCCATGTTGGCGAGAGGCCAAAGCCCTAGTTGTAATCAGTCAACGCCTCCACTACCACCTCCAAACAGTATAACACCCCATAATCATAAAACTTACAATCATCACGATTCCCCACATCAAAACAATAGCAGAAAGAAACAGCCTCGGCCCAAGTTTCCGAATAATTACCGTCATGGGGGGCTGAAAGACGGTATAGGTGATGAAAAAGACCAACGAGCTAATACTGTAACCATTATTCTTGGCATTCATCTTCAATTCTTCCTGCATCCTATCAGTACAACAAATTGAGTTAGCTTAATCTCTTGGCCAAGCCACGGCCTTGAAGCGGGGTTGAAAGAAGACTGGAAAGCTCATACCCGGCAACCGAGGCAGCTCCCAAGTTGGTTCTATCCAGCAAACTGATGCAATATAGACAACCCAGTGGAATTACCAGACGAATGTCAATTCGTCTCGTGAGTCTTTTCTTCTCTTTCGGAGTGAAATAGTCGAGGGATTCGCCGGGTTGGATGCTGTTCTTCTCGGCATCTTCAATGTGAGATGCCTCTAAGGACTTTTCTGTTTCCATTGCTGCGGGTACGGGGGATTCTTCTTTCATGTTTGGGGGCTTCGGAATGGAGGATTGGGATGCATTCTTTGACTGCTGTAATGGGATGGCATTATATAGCTGTCAAAGGGATAGGCATAGACGAAAGTTTCCCCGCAGGATGACCCCGCAGATCTATTACCCCGGATTTCGCCATCCTAGGCCAAGGTTAATTATGACTCGAGGAGAGAGAATTGAGTTGTGGGGAGCGATAGGACACGTCACGAGTCCCGCAGCTGTACGGTAGTAGATGGAAAGTTCACGGCAGGTCACTGTGTACTTGGCACCGAGGGACAAGAGAATCAGTGGAAGGGATCATTTGGGCCCTGTTCCGTGTGGCGAAGGACTCGTATAATACGATAGAATGGATCTTGGTTCTCTTATAGCCAGAGCCTGGATCATCTCTGGGTATATTAGAGTTATCAATATCGTTCTCGAGTCTTTCGGCTCTCCCGAGGCAGACCGGGGAGGAGGACTGATCTGGGGGATTAGAGTTTGTTATCTCTATTCCAAGTCATGACATCAACATGTCCATGTGAGATATGATTGTACCGTCTGATTTGGCAAGCTAGTGGCCCAAAGTACCTAAACGGAAGTGTTTCCGCGATTCATCAGCATTTCATCAGCAGTCTGCGCTGCAAGTTCAGTCTGCGGGGCCTTTTATAAGCTATTCCTCTATGAAAACTGCATGTTGTATCACCTCGATCGTATAAGAGGCTGTTGGAAGATAGCCCTAAATCATGAAAATGAAAGATGGTTATCTCTGATGAGAGTTTGTGAAGGTGGGGGGAGATCGCTAAGGATATAAATGACATATTCCCGGCCAATGCTAGATGAATCACCGATGATATCCGTGTCTAAGCATCACGGTATGATGGTACCAAAACATAAACCTCACAACTCTAGTGGTATCTAAACAAGCCCCTTCCATAAATCAAACCAGTCAAGCCTCAACGCCAGCAGAAATATAGACAGCCACACATTTAAAACCCCCCAAAAGGATAATGGCTAATGGAACGATGTGGCGCAACATAGTAATCCTGGTATGGATGATTCTCCATCGAAAAGTCCGCAGTCGCCATGAGCGGATTAATCACCCCAGCTGGCACCTTAGGCCGGGCGGGAGTATGATCCGCGGTCAAAGGATGGTCACTGTTGAATAACGCTAGGATATCTTCCGACATATGCATTGGAGGTCCGTGAGAGTCACTCCAGCCCCAGGCTTCCTGAAGCTCCTGCTTCACGTGCTCTGCCTTCCAGCCCGTCTGCTTTATGATGTCCTCGAGGATGCCCAAGGCCTCTTGTTGAGCTTCCCTAGTTGCCAGGCACTCTGCCGCAATAGCGAGGAAACGTATTGATAGACTCGCCACTCCGCTGCTTCATATTAGCCATTAACTCAATTATATGCATCCTGGCAGTCAACGTACCGATCCCTGGAGTGTGCCACGATGCCGCAGATATCCCTTGCATGGCTTTGCTGTACGGTCTGCATCTCGGCACTGTACTCTGACTCGACAGGATTGGTCTTCGTAAGCAAGATGCGTGCAGTGTGGTATAGTAGTCGAGCGATGATCGTGGAACGCTTGATCAGCCTGTAAATGTTAATATGGCATGTGCGAATAGATCAACCGATGCTCACCATATCTGTGGAAAGACGGATTTAGAGTTTGTCTGCCACGACTGAATATATCCCAGAGGCATCATGGACCGCGGTACAGCTCGAGCCCACTGATCGCACCACTCATTATAAGTGCACCATTCCTGATAACGTTGGCTAATCCGCACGTCGTTGGCAGCCTCCAGTGCCGGTGGTTGGGCTAACGATCGAAAATTCGCAATTTTGGCGCAAATGAAGACCATCTGATGCGTCCAGGCTTCTTCATTGCCTGCAACACTTGGCTGTGCGTGATTCAGATCCAATTCAACGCCCCACGTGTCCGGGTCCCAGGAAAGCGTCCAATTGAAATGCAAACAGCTGAGTAGTTCCATGCTTACATTCAACCAGAAACAAGCACCTCCCAGTCCCGGCGTTTTGGCATTCCAGTGACACTCTTTGATTAAAGCTCGCGCACCAGCAATGTGGCTCATGCCCTGAATTGGTCGGCCAGACATTAACTCGTAGATGTTCAGAAGAATCGCCGTAGTTGCGCATAGAGCCGAGTCACGATCAGGGTCTTGTAATGAGCGAAGAAGATATTGTGAGGCGACATTGTGATGTTCTGCGGCCTTCTCCTCCCCGTACGAGGCGTCCACGTGGAAAAGATGCCTCGCACCGCATGCCAACAGGGCTTTGAGAAGCATAGGTTCTTCGAGCGCATGGAATGGCAGAATATGCGTGAACTATGGAAATAAGCAACTGACAACACGTCGCAAGGATCGACAACTTACATGTTTCACCGCATCCATCGAATCCATCCATAGCCCGACCTCTTCAACGAATACCTGCAGCAGGTATACTTCCTCTGGGTTGTTGAGACAAGTATGGTTGATGGCATTTATATGGCCATCTTTTGTGGACCTGAACGGGGCAAAGGATGCACTCTGGCCGTAAAAAGCAGGGGCATTTGGTGGGCCGCTAAACGGCCCTGCCAGACTCCCGGACTGGGGCGTCCCGAAGCCATGTACGAATGAGGCACTCAGACTAGGAGTCAGACAAGGCCCTGTCGCATTCCCCTTTTCCAACGAAGGTTCCGCCACTTCGGGAGGATATCTCTCAATCCCGCCCACATATTCAGACGCTATAAGCCGCGACTCATCCCGAAAAGTCACACCCGTCGCTGGTATACGGACTACGCAGTGCGGGGGTGTCGATTTCTGGATATCTATGAAGTTTAGGCGAATTCCACGCCTGCATACTCTGCCCGACTTCCGGCAGTTCTGGCATCGGTGCAAAGCCTCGTCGCACTTCAGGTGACGTTCCCGACATGTTAAGCAGCCTGTCCGCACTCGCCTCGGCTTCGCAAGGACAATCTTGCTTTTTCGCTTGGCGGCTGACGGGCGTGGCGCATCCAACGATGTGCTGTTTGGTGTTGAAACTCCGCCCTCGTCGGATGGGCTCGTGTCTTGTGTGATAGCCTCGGTCGTAACAGCCAAACTGTTTTCGTCAAGATCGAACTCTAGTATATCGGTGATCTGCCCTGAAGCGGTCAGGTCCAGCGAAAGATCCAGGTCCGACGGGACAGAGACATGGTCACTGAGAGCTGACGCCATGTCAGGCTGCTTCAATCAACGATAACCCGTCGAGCCTGAATCACAGTATATCGTCCAGTCTTGGGTTATGATCATCAGCAAACCCCAGATTCAGCCCCCGAAACTGTCACTCCCGAGCATTCTGCCAACCACAAGATCTATAGCGCCGTCCGGCTTCCTAACGCAGCACCACTTCACATAGATATTCGGGGCCGATAAGAGAAGTGACGTAGTTGACAGGGATGGCCAACTCTGATCGAAGATTTGCGCACGATTCGAAGGTTTTCAAGGTGACACCGAAATTTAAATGCATAGGCACCGGTATTTGGAAGCGATCTAAGGGTCGTTGATCTGCTCGAAATTGCTGTTAGCTTATGTCAAGTGATATATAATAGCGTGCAGTCACAGTCAGACCTTATGGATTAACAGCAGAAGGAGACAATGAAGTGTCGTCAACCAACTCACACTGGCAATAGAGACAGACTGGGGAATCTCAAAAGATCCGCGGGGAATCGTGACTCCGGGTAGGTGAGACTAGTCCCAGAATGGTCTAGGCGACAGATCGATACCGCGGCAGAACAAAGAAGCGATACGGTCCCGCTCAATGATTTCATTTCATAGTCTACTTGAAGTGGCATCTTTCACAAATTCGTATTTTCAATTATATGATTTGCTGTAAAGTGTTCGCATCTCTTTATAAAAGCTCGCAATTTTGTTCAACATTACCTTTATCAATAACTTTTGGCATTGGGTCGTAAATCAATGAGGTCTTCAGCAACGTGCTGCTCAGATAGCAGCTGCAAGAGAGGTCTATTTTATCGCCGTCTACATTCCTTCGGTCAACACCATGTACTGTAGCAGATCAGCAGCTCAAGTTCTTATGCTTTAGTTCCCAGTCTGGGGACTCGGACTCGAAGGTGCAGAATGAGCATGAGAGCACCCCAGATGGCAGCAGAGAAGAAAGTAGCGCGAAGGGCAGCAGCATACGCTCCGATCACTAGTCAAGGTTCAGTATCTCTAACTTCCACGGGTACATATCTCCAAAACTTACCTTGTTGCTGATGCATTGAATCGAGTTTCGCGATTGCTTGGACGGATTTGCGAACAAGGAGGATGACATCCTCCTTGTTTGGGCCGGTGACCGTCTCTTCGAGTTGATACACGAGGGTGTTCTGGAAGATCCAGCTGCTGGTTGCGACACCCATCACCGATCCGAGATTTCTCCACAAACCCAAGGTCGTCGTGGCCACGGCCTGGTCCTCTTGATCAGTAGTGGCAAGAACCGATACCATTAGCGAGGGGAAAGAGCATCCTTGTCCGAGACTGGAGAGCGAAACGCAAACCATCGCAAGCCAATCAGGCGTACCAACGCCCATGGAAGCGGCAGCGCAACCACCGAGCAGTAGAAAGATGTCGCCAAAGATGATGGTTGGCTTAAGCCGTTTAGTCCAAGTGATGATGAAGCCTGTCGAGACACTGGAGATCGTCACCGCAAGAGTTGAGCCAATTAGCCTGAGACCCGAGTCAGTCGGAGTAGCTAGCTTGACTGCCTGAAAATACAGGGGCGCATTGAAGACCATGGTGTTAACGGAGATGGCGCCGAAGAAGTTTCCAAAGATAAGGCTGGCACGAGGCTCCTGTACCAATAGCGAAATTGGCATAACTCCCCGCTCCACGGTCCGCTCATAGCGAACAAAAACAACAGCTAAGATGAAGGATGAGATCAAGGACGTGATAACAATGGGGTGAGTCCAGCTGAACACATTACCACCCAGATTCAGTCCCATAATCAATGAAGTCACACCGACGACAAGTATGAACGAGCCGACAAGGTCAATGCTCTTGAGGAGCTGCATCAGACTCTTCCTCTCTGTTTTGGCCCTCTTCAAGCCCAGGTCGGCAGGGGTTGTCCAAGCTGCCACGATGAAGTAAACAAAGATGAAGGGCAATTGCACGAGGAACGCACCTCTCCACCCCACTTGGTCGCACAGGAACCCGCCGAAGGCCAAGCCAAGGCAACCACCAATGCCCAGACAGAGGTTGATGTAGGACTGATAGACGCCTCGGTATTCAAGGCGCACGAGATCACTGGAGAGAATCATGCCCATGGAGAACACACCACCAGCTCCGAGTCCGCAAAACGCTCGAGCAGCGATGAAGCTGAACATGCTTTGGGCGGCTGCGCACCATGCCGTTGTGACGAAAAAGATGGCAATGGCGAAAAGGTAGACTGGCTTCCTTCCAAATGTGTCAGAAATGCGCCCAAAAAGCGGGAGGAAAGCGGTAGATGTCAATAGGAACGCGGTCGATAGCCAAGATGCGGAGTTCGAAGCGTGGAAGTAGGAGGTTATAACAGGGTGACTCGAAGCCATCAAGGTGGAGTCAAAAAATCCGATCACGTATCCCATCAAGATACCAGAGAAGATAAGCCAGAATCTCATGGGTGAGACATTGATGAACCGTGAAGCATAGCCAGTAGGCTCACCGGCAACTCCATCTTCAGCATCCCCGGGCACTTGTTTCTGGCTCACTGGAGCAGAAGGGAGTCGCTCGAGGTTAGGTTCAACATCGAGCCCTTGCGGGATTGAGGTGACTCTGGAGAGACTAAGCAATGCCGGGTCTTCCTCGGGGGCGAAGAGGGTTGAGGACAGGCTTGGATCCACATCCTTATCTACAGTCGTATCCTCTTGACTGATATATAATGATTGACGGGAAGATTCATGCAACAGTGGCGTAGATTCAGTAGCTTGGAGGGAAGATGGTGGCTTTCCATCTGTTGCATGGGGAGAAGTCATAATCGCAGTAGATGCGGTGAAGGAGATTGGATCAAATAATCACTCTAGAATACGACTTTCGAATAAACTTAAAGACCATAGAACATAGTATATGAAACTGAATATCTCCACTGAAACTTTGTTCATACAAAGAAGAAAAAGATAATTGAGAAAGAAAAGGAAAGGGAGCAGCCTACAAAGGGAGATGTAATTCAGACGGGGAGACTGGCTGAGACAAATTTTATAGAGGGATTTTCTGGTGAGTGGCACTAAAGAATGCATGCTGCGGCACGGTGGATTCCCTCCCGCACGGAACTATGGATATGACTCGACTCGGTCAGCCTTTGCCTGCTCAACCTCATTGCGCGGAAAGACCAACCCATTCTCCACCGATTTGGACGGCTGCATTGGTTGGTTCACAGGCACGAGGAGCCCAAAATTGGACATACCCGTCAAAGTTCTTCAAGTGTCATGGTAGACATGAAGCCAACAAACCCTGGAAGCTGTCTTGATAAGCGCAGTTAGCGGCATTGCTGCCTCCAACCCCTCATCTTTTAGTATGGGTTTAGGATGCATGTGGACAGGATCCTTCTTGATGCACGCAAATGAGTGTCTTGCTCGTGCTGCGATTTCGGCCCACTCCCAGAGCATCACGTGTGTCTACTCTTGCTGATTGGCTCAACTGCAGTCATCGGACCCCAAACCGTGTATGCACCCTGCAAAACCTAACCTAAAACGGGATAGCGGCCCTCACAGCGATACCGGCAGAGTACATCTCGGTAAGGCATCAATACCGACGGAGTGGACTATCCACTACTTTAGCACTTATCTATGGGGATGCAGTAGTCACCTGTGTCATCTGCGGAGCTGATGGCGTGCGAACTGTCAGGCCCAGGTACCATCATGTCTCTACCAATGGTTACTTTTCTCTTATGACATTGATCGGACCACTAGCCGAGCTCTGTCGTTTTCCGAAGCCAAGGATGAGTGATTTCTTTTAGACAGGTGAAGAGAATGAAGCCGCCGGTACTGCCCCAAGTCAATGGATCAGCCTTAGCAGATGACACAGTGCTGTATGCACGCGGCTTGCATGTTCAGTAAATAAGTGCTGCTGAAAGAACCCTGCCACATTGCACCAACTAGTTGCAGGATTCAATCCCGACTGCATGCGGTGTGCAACTGGATACTTTGTATTCGTCTCTGCCCAATGCTTGAACAAGATTTACTCTTCAACCCTCCAATCACCTCCAATCCAGAAAGCAAGAGCCATCCGGTGGCCGCTTTGCTATGACATCCTCCCCGCATCGAGATGCATGATCAACCACTACTTACAAAATTTTAGTCAAGGCCATCCTATCAGGTGCACCGTGTATACTCCTTATCAAGAACACTGCATTGTCTTTGAGAGATTTTCAAAGAGAGACATAGAACCTCTTGAATAAAAGACTATGGATGGAATCGGTCCGAGCGGGAGGCACAGCCGAAGGAGGTGGCGGGACTGATAACAGACTAGCGCATTCGATAAGAGGGTCCAACGGTGATTCATACACCAGATTTACCTGTCCAGGCCACCATTTCCGACACAGTCATTGCGCATATCCAACAAGCAGATCGAACCATAATCTGCGAACAGCTTGCATCACAGTTAACTAGCTTTTCAACCTGCTCCTGCACCTGCTTTCCTCTCCGGTCTCCGCCTTCGAATCACCGAATTACCCCTCCCTCCACCACAATGCCCCCGCTTCGTATCGCCATCCTTGAATGCGACACCCCAGTCGAGAAAGTAAACAACAAATATGGAGGCTATCGCGGTGTATTCTCCCTCCTACTCCGTGAAAGTGCTGCAGCACTAGGTCAACCCGATAAGCTAGACCCAGAAACCGGCCTCGAGATTAGCGGCTGGGACGTGGTGACGGCGCAAGAATACCCCAACCTGGAGGATGTAGATGCAGTTGTTTTGTCCGGGTCCAGTAAGTTACCTTTCTACCTATTTCCCCCGTACCCTCCCGCGCATCGTGCAGCATGCATTCTCTCTGCAAGGCGCTCCCTGTGACTCATATGTTTCCTAGAACATGATTCCTTTGAGAACCACCCATGGATCCTGAAGCTGGTTGATTTCACCAAGAAAGCTTTTGAAGACAAGCGCGTTAAGATATTCGCCATCTGCTTCGGCCATCAGATCCTGGCACGTGCTCTTGGCGCCAGGGTTGGTCGCAACACTGCAGGATGGGAAATTGCAGTGTGTGAGGTGGACTTGACGGAGACTGGAAAGGAGTTGTTCGGGAGGGATAAGCTTGTGTGTCTACTACCTTTCTTTCCCACCGATCTTCAGACTTCTCATATAGCTTCTATGGTGGGGTACTGAACCTATGCTAACAAACTATTGTTACAGCGCATTCATCAAATGCACCAAGACATTGCATACGGATACCCATCCGAGGTAGTGTCCCTGGGCGCTTCCCCGAGATGTGCCGTGCAGGGCATGTATGTCCCGGGGAAGTTGATTGCTCTGCAGGGCCATCCCGAATTCAGAGAAGATATCATATCCGAGATCATCAATATGCGGACTGCATCTGGTCTCTTCTCGAAAGAACAATCAGAAGATGCCTTGAGTCGCGCAGGTCTCCCACACGACGGCATCGCGATTACCATGGCCTTCCTGAAGTTTTTGATTTGAGCATACCTGACCATATAGAGCGATACTATACTTTCTGCCAGGGTTAATGGCTGATATACCTTCATAGCCTGGCTACCCGACAAACTCCATCTCAAGCGACGCACATAGATAGATCAAGAATAGGAATCATATCTTTTATCCACTAAAGATGCAAATGGTTAAAACCTCAAACCCAAGCGCATCTAGCCAGATGACCATAAACGATGGGTATAGAGCGACCTATAAAATCAGAGACACCGAAATGAGAAAAAAGAAACCACCGAAATGCAAACGCTCAAAATCGACAAACCCTCCGAACCAAGCAACAACCCAAATCCAAATAAAACAAGCACAGCACCACATCACCCCGAAGCCGACGGATCCTCCCTCTCCAAAAACGTCGGATCCATCTCGACCTTCCTCTCAAACTTCGTCCACCAATCGCGAAACGTCTTCAACGGAACAGTTTCCTGTCCTCTATTGCTCGGATCCTCGGACGCAAAGCTGGCCAAGAAATTAAACGCATTGCCAATGATTCTCTGCGCCAGCACCTTCGTAGTAATCTCCTTCTGCTGGCGGTTATGTCGTACCAACTCCAGCGACTGCCCGGCGCCACCACCAGCTTGCTCCGCCTCCAGCGCAGCAACCTGCGGTGCAACAGCTTGAACAGGTTCAAGCGAGATCCCCAACGTCACCATTGGAGCTGCGCCGGCCATCGCATTGCCATTTTGTAATCCCGGGATTTGCGGCGCCTGGACTTTGAGAATCGCAGAGGGTCTTTCATTCGCTAGCGCTCCGATAAACTTGAACTGGGGTGCATTGTTGTTCGGGTCAGGGAATTGAATGTAAATCGCAGCGGCGGTATCGGGCGGGAGGACAGTGCCGGGGAGGAAGAAGACGACGAGTTCAGTGAGTTTGGGCGGGAGGGGGAAATTGAAGGCGAATTTTGTGGTTTGGCCGTTTGGTTGTGTTTCGACGGCGACGATGTCTGTGAGGCACGGATGGTCTGGTATGATGACGGAGAACATGGTGGGCAATTGATGATGATGATGACGAATTAGGAGTGTTGTATTGTATAGAGCATGTAGATCAGATCTCGATCTGGTTGGAGAGGGTTTGAATCTTAATGGTGTATTGTTATAGCTGGACTAGAAACAGCCGGAGGGAATTGCGACGCATGGCTTAAAAGGGTTGTTTCTTTGGAGCTTCCGGGAGGTGGAGAAAGCAAGCTAGCTAGGCCAGCCTTTTGAAGAATTTCCTGGCGCGTTCCATGATGGAATCTCAAAGAAAGACTCGGTGACGAAATACCCGTCTTCTGGCTATTGCCCTTATCGATAAGGGTTCCCTTCCCGCCCGCCGCGCTCTAGGCTGGTTGAAGAACATCCCGTTGGTAGGGGGAGACACCCCGCGGCTGACCTTGTGATTGTTGTTAGTGTTTTGTTACTCACTAGGTTTCTGGGCTTGTATATATACGTCTTTTTTTTGACATTATTTTGGCATCATGGGCAAGTCAAATCTTGAGTTGGTTATTGAGTGCGATAGGTAATTGTTTCTCTTTCCTCCGTACCGATCGCTTGGATTCTAATCGTCAGATCCGCATGGCAGATTTCCGTACTACCAAGATAGCCCCGCATCCTATCTTGAACATCTGAAGAACTACCATGTTTTCAAGGTCGCCGGCTGCGATGCTACTCTCGGGTATATTCTGAACTCGACAGTAGAGCGGTTCGACTTGCCCTCGGAATGGTGGGCAATTGACTCCGACAACCGGAGCGTCACCCTCCTTGCTCCGGCCGATGCGACTCCTCAACAGCGCAGCGAGATTATGGCCAAGACGTTGAACAGGGCGGTGGAGCTGGGAACATTTGATATTCTCAAGGGATGGCGCAATGAGATGTATCCTATCTATGGACCAGGAGGTAAATTCCTCCTGGAAATGGAACGATCTGCTACCCCGCTATTCGGTGTCGTTTCGTACGGCGTACACTCGACCGTTTACGTGGAGGACGAGAATGGTCTACGCATCTGGGTGCCCAGGCGTTCGAGAACAAAGCAGACATACCCCGGTATGCTTGATAACTCCGTGGCGGGTGGAATGAGCACCACGGAACACCCGTTTGAATGTCTTGTCCGTGAGGCGATGGAGGAAGCGTCTCTGCCGGAAGACGTTGTCAGGGCTAATGCCACTCCGGCCGGATGTGTTACGTACACGTATGTCCGGAGTGCAAAGGCTGGAGGTGAAACGGACCTGGTGCAGCCGGAGGTCGAATATATCTTCGATGTTAAGGTCGGGGCTGATATTATCCCCAAGCCGTGCGACACCGAAGTCGAAGAGTTCAAGCTTTTCACTATCGAAGAGACGAAGCAGGCATTGGCTAATGGGGAGTTCAAGCCCAACTGTGCCGTTGTCTTGATTGACTTTTTCGTCCGACATGGTATTTTGACACCGGAGAACGAGCCGGACTATCTTGAAATCATCGCACGGATGCATCGGCGCTTGGAGTTCCCGACCGCATCACACGTGACGGTATAAACTACATGCTGACTCGCATAAATGGAATCAGAAATGTGTTGAGAAGCAAGATTTAATGTTCTATTTGATATACCCTATCACCAATCAAACGCCGGCGCTGCAATCAAAGTACCCCAAGCATGCAAAAGACTTTTCTGACTATCCGAGACAGAACGGGCCAACGCCTCAGACCTTCTGAACACTATATGTGATGGTCGTGAAAGTTCTTTTTTGTCTATTTCTTCAGGAGCAGATACACGTAGTCGATCCTCAAGGGTGCCAGCTTCTTGTAAGGACCTTCGAGGTAAAGCAAAAGACCACCGAAAGAGATGAATACGGCCCTAGACGCGGCATTTAGTCAGCTGTTGTACAAAGAACGATCGATCTCGGTCACACGGCGAAGAAATCCGCAGCAGACGGCGATCCGCAACACATGGGATAATCTTACATGTTACCCTGGCTGGAACCCTCCTCAAAGCGGTAAACCTTGCCGTGGCAGACATAATCGTAGTCATTAGCCAAGGTCTGCTCGCCCATTCCGACCTCTCTCCAGCCCTTCGAACCGGAGTCATCCTTGCCATCCAGAGAAAGCGTCGAGGCCAGAGCCATGTTCAGCGACTCGTTAACAACACAAGGGTAAAGCTCGGAGTTGACATCGAGAGTGAAATGCGAAAGGGTGTCGGTAGAGTTGCAGCTCAGACGCGAAACACGGTCATATTTCTGCTGGTTGATCGCGGTGATCGTGAAGGTGTCTTCGAAGAGTAACGGGTCGGACATGGTTGCGATGGTGGCTTCGAGCGTTCAATTAAATCGCAAAATATGTAGGGTATCGGCTTTTACGCGAAAGACGGTAGTCGGAAGGGATAAGACGTGCGCTGGCAACAAGAGGCGTGGTGGTCGTGGTAGCGCCAGAAAAAGGTGAAAGCGAAGAAGTCGAGGGCGGACAGCTTTTTTGCTCGACTTTTAGCGCGGCGCCGCTTTTACTTTCCCGGAGCTGCCCCGCAGCAAATCTTCAAAGTATTCCCGTTCGGTTCATTGCGTTCCAATCATTCTACCAACTTACACGATGTCTTTTCGCAAGAGAAATATTGGTCTTTCGGCAGGCGCTGATCGCACTGGTGCTGTTAATGCTAACGCACAGCCGCAACAGCCTCCTGCGACGCCAGAATTGACTCCCGGTGTTCGCCCCTCCCCCGACGATGGGCGGCCGACTACTTCCACTGGTACTCCGTCGCTGGATAACCTTTTAGCTGGGCATGGAGGTCTTCCCATAGGGAAGACGCTATTGATTGAGGAGAATGGGACTACGGACTTTGCGGGTGCATTGCTAAGATACTATGCGGCAGAGGGTGTGGTGCAAGATCAAAAGATTCATGTCGTGGGAATGCCTGAACAATGGGGAAGGAGTCTTCCGGGCTTGTTAGGTCCGGCTGATGCTGTTGATGATAAGCAAGATAAACGGAAAGGAGAGCGCATGAAGATCGCTTGGCGATATGAGCGTCTGGGCGAGTTTGGAGCGGGGATTGCTGGTTCAAGAGGTATACTGTCTTGTCGGATTATCGCAGTGATACTTTATAGTGTGCTAACAGACACGCTCTGCAGCGCCCTCAGGAGATCAGAGCCAATCTGCCACGGATCCAAACGTGGACAAGCGACCAGCATTCTGCCATGCATTTGACCTCACGAAACGCCTCACTCATCCTTCCATCGCCAACGTGAACTATATACCCCTCGCGCCATCGAACGAGCCCTTGTTCGTGTCGATTCATAAACGACTTCAAGCCGCAATTGCCTCTTGTCCACCAAATACTGTCCATCGCATCCTCATTCCTTCCTTGCTGAACCCCACGATATACCCGCCCGATTCCTGTCAGCCCGACAACCTTCTGCCGTTCCTACACTCTCTCAGAGCTTTGATGAGCGCGCAGGGTGCGCGCGTGACGGCGATGATCACGTTGCCCCTATCTCTTTTCCCCCGTGCCACAGGACTTGTGCGATGGATGGAATTATTGAGTGACGGTGTCATTGAGTTGTGTCCCTTCCCGCACTCCTCCGACGCTCTCGCAACCTCGGGTGCCGCTACTTCTCAGGAAGAACCACCACAGGGCATGCTGAAAGTCCATCGTCTGCCAGTACTGCACGAACGTGGCGGTGGTAGCGATCAGAACATCGGACAGGACTGGGCTTTCACGCTGAGCCGGAAGAGGTTCGAGATCAAGCCATTCAGCTTACCGCCAGCTGAAGGAGACAAGGAAGGGCAGGATGCAGCGGTGACGGGTGCAATGCCAAAGAAGGCGGATCTTGAGTTCTAGATTTCACGATGGGTTGGGATAGCCAAAATCAGACCACAATCACTCCTCGTGATCCGAACCATCCAGCATATTCTGCAGCTCGATCTGCTCGGACATGGCGGACCCAGTGTTGACCATTGATCGGAGGTAGTGTCTTCCGTATGAGTCAAGCCCCGGTCCGGCAGGTGATGCTGAGAAATAAGACCGAAGACGAGGTGCGATGAATCTCGAGAAGCCTAGATATGCTTCGAGCTGTCAGTAGCTGTCATTGGAGAATAGGCGAGCGGTGGTACCTAGGAGTAGCAAAAAGGGTGCAAAGAACACCAGGAACAGCAAGGACATGAAGCTCATTTTGACTTGTGGCAATAGAGCCACTTGAACAGCTTCAGATAATGATTATACGGACTCTTATCATCTAGTGGTAGCTTCCAGGACTCGCTGAAGAGCATCAACTTTCCCACATATGACTAAGCACGTAACACTCCACTAGCTTGAATAGGAAAGGCGTACTTCCAGCGCAGCTCTTTAAGAGCTTCCACCCCACCGAATATTTTTTCTCGCTTCCATCCCCATCGCTCATTCAACGACAATCTGGATTTGCTGGCCAAGTCCACGAGCCTCATTCTTCAATTCGATACTCTATAATGCTGAGTTGTATTGATGGTAAGCAGTGATCCTATCCTCTCTGCGCAATTGTCCCTTGCTTGCATGATTATACAAATACTATAATCTGTCAATCCCCTGAAGCTCATTAAAATAATCTCATTAAAACGAGCATATGTGATTGAGAAACGTATCGAGAATGAATAGCATTTTCTTGCGCTTTTACATTTCATCCATGCCATTCATTGGAATCTGAACGCTAACGTTCATATTCAGTCGCAGCAGCAGATCCCTTGATAAATTGAACTGTGCCCCTTAGTCGCTAAAAAATATGGATATCGAACCCACCCTTCCTATTCCGATCTCGTATATTGGGGGTAGCTACTTTCTCTTCTCAATTGATGCAGTTACGTATGTGAGACGCGAGCATCACATTTGCGGCGTCTTAAGCGGCACATTGCCTCAAATCCCACAACAGAATGTCTTCCTGGGCTTGCCCTTGAAGCTAATGCCGGAAGAGGCCCGGTTGCTCGTGGAGAAAGGTGTAGCATGCATTGTAGACGAGGTAAAAGTCCAAAAGGACGGAATGCGAGCCCTCATGGAAGAGGATCGCAAGAAGTATCTCCGTGAGCTAGAATCTCAAGGCCAGCATGCTATGCGACTACAACACGACCGGAAGGAGCAGCAACGCGAGAAGGCTTTAAAGAAAATAGAAGAAAAGAAGGCTGCCAAGGCCAAGAAGTTTGCTGAAAAGCAGCAGCAGGAGGAGCAGCCTGACCCTGTTAATAATGAGGCTGCTGCTGCTAAAGACCCGGTTGTTGACTTGTTCGCACACGATCAGCAGTCGTCGCGCCGTTCTTCGTCCGCCACTGCTGCTGCTGCTGCTCCCTTTGGCACTGCTATGGGAGTCACGCCTGCTACGTCTTATCCGCCTCTTCCGTATGAGTGGTCTGCTGAGCAGCGGTTACCGCTTCCTGATGTGCCTGCCTCATACCCTTTGTTCGCTCACCTTCACTCTGAAGGATATTACCTGTCCCCTGGGTTGCGATTCGGGTGTCAGTATCTTGCTTATCCCGGTGATCCTTTACGGTTCCATTCCCACTTCTTGAGTGTGTCTGCTGAATGGGATGAAGAGTTGGATTTGATGAGCATTGTTGCTGGAGGTCGACTAGGTACTGGTGTGAAGAAGGGGTTCATGATTGGGGGAGCTGAGAAGAAGCTCGAGGGATCGGATGCTGGGGATCCCAGTAGTGTGAGGACTTTCAGCATTGAATGGGGTGGAATGTGATGTGAACCATATTCGACGTTCTCTTCGGTCTTATTGATCGTCTCTAAGCTGAGCTCCGCATGCTGCACGCGCAGCTTGCAGCATATTCCATTGCTGCTTTTCTCCTCGGTGGAGTAGAAGCGCCATGTCAGAGGGAGCTGTGCAGCGCTGCAAACTGCATTTAGGCGCTCTCTCAAGTCCAGCAGAAATGCCTACGGGCTTGATTGCAGCAGCCAATCCTCGAAGCAGCTGGTAGAGCGGTTACCTGACAAGGTTACGAGAATACTCTACAGCTGTCGATTCTCCAGCACGCCCCAGGCAGCGCAGTCCGACGTAAAGGACTTTGATTGGAGGTGATTACAGCCTTGAAGATCATGTCATGGCTGAATAACAAACAAGGAATTAAACGAAATCATTCTTCAACTATACAATTCAAATCATCTCCGCGTACACTTGTAGTTGCTACCAAATCATCAGGTCTCGGCCTCTTATGCACAAGGGCACGTCTCGAAAGCCTTGGGATATTCTGCTGGACCGTGCTGACAAGGCAATCGGTCTGTTTCACTCCAAGGACTCACTCGGCAGCAAGACTCGTTCACATCGTGAGAGGAGCATCAATCCCTCCATCGATAATCAAATGCTGGTGCGAAGGCCGAGTAAAGTCCTGTGCCTTTGTATGAGCTCCTGATAACATCATATGGATCAAAATCTCCGTAGCGGCCCGTGCCTGCTTGATGCGAAGCCTGTCAGATGTGCTGCAGACGGCAGTACTCTCGATGGTGCATCTCCTGGCGCGTCAGCCTCGAGTAGTCTACCACGACTATGGTCAGACTATACTCGTGGACCCAGTTCTGCAGGATAGTCTCCCTGACCGTTCCCTCGTGCCAGTCCACCATAAAGCGGTCTAACGATCATTTCCAATAAAAGCCTTCCACCAACCCAGCCAGCCTAGATATAATCCACATTCCGCCACTTGAACTTCTTATTCGCTCTGTCCACCGGCCGATTCTGGAACTGACTGCCATGAAGCTCAAACACGAGCTTTTCCTCCTTCTTCTCAGAATGAGCACTCGCCTCCCCAGCCACCGCCGCCCCATCAGCATCAGCATCATCCGCCTGAGGCAAAGGCACACTAAACCGGAAAATAGTCTGCTCCTTAGGAATAGCTAAACCAAACAACCACAATTAGCAACACACACCCAATCCAAACTTCATCAATCATCAATAGCAAAGAACGAAAAGAAAGGGGAAGAAAAAAAAAAAAACATACTCTTAACCTCATCCCCCCTCGTAACCACCACAAACGTAAACTTCGTATCCCTCACCACAATGCCCCTAACCCCAACCCTCCCCTCACACCGACTCCTCACCACCTCCACCTCCGCCCCATGAAAATCCGCACTGGAGAGTTTACTCCCATGCGACTGCGGCGTCATAGGCGGCTTGAACTTTTTCTCCCCCAAGTCCAACATATCCTGCATATACCGCACCCACATGCCATGCAGTTCCTGGAAAATCGCATACTTGCATTCTTCCTTGGGGAGGTCGTACAGCCCCGAAGCGCGCTTCTGACGCGCGGATAAAGGCTGCGGCTTTTGCTTGCGCAGGAAGTACTCTTTCTTGCGGAGGCGGTGGAGGCGACGCCGAGAGCGGTTGTCGGCTGGTGTTGGGGATGTTGGCCGCACGTAGAGTGGCTTTTGTTTTATGCGCTCGGTAAAGAGTTGGGTCGCTGTGTCGGGGGAGTGGGCGCGTGAGAGGAGGGTGTGTGCGATGTGGGGTTTGGGGGTTGTCATTTTTATGGATGGTTCTGGTTTTGTGAGGGAGGGGTCGGGTGATTGTTGGGGATTGGAGTGGTGATTTATTGGTGGTGGTGGTGGTGACGGAGTTGATGGTGTTGGTGTTGGAAAATTGGTGGTTATCGGAGTTGCTGATAAGATCACATGCTGATTGGGTTGGATCCGCTGGTTGGAGATGTATGCAACTTAGACTCTTGCATTCAGCATCAGTTCATCAGGAATAAATTCACATGCGATTTCTTCTGTTACTATGATTTGATGAAGTTACAGGGTTGTCCCTGGGAAAAGATTGATCAGCTTGAAGTATCTTCAACGCTAATTGTGACTTGATGAAGCTAAGTCAAGGCCTCGCCTACAACTTGGCCACCATGGTTAATAGCTCAATTCTGACGATACTATAATGAGTGCTAACCTAAAGACGATCTTTACATCAGGAATGCTACAAGCGTCTTCTATATGGCTCCTGAAATAGGTTTACATACATATACAGTCCCCGCATCTGGTCTTGTCTGTTAATCTACGCCTCCACAACATCAACCTATGCAGCAAAGAAGCCCTCGGATCAGAGTATAGAGCACGATGTATCACTTAGATAACATGACAGCTTATCATACATAATATGCTCTATGTCTGAATGTCCGGCCTTTCTGAATCACATTAGTATGGTTGCCGATCATCCCTCGGCATAAACGTCTTCCCCGCATATCACAAACTATATATACTCTACCAACAGTTGGTCGATAATGGGACATTTCCACCAGAACGAATGTGCAGCCAACAGTAACAACCAAAATGTCCAATCCAAGCAGCCTACCTCCATTCCCCTCCTCCGTCCCTACAGCCCCTCTCCTCCGTCTCTCACTTTCCAAATTACAAGCCCACGATGCCACCGAAACCCACAACCTCCTACAAGCCTGCAAAGACATCGGGTTCTTCTACCTCGATCTCCGCGACGCCGACGAGGGCATCGCCCTCTTAACCAACGCAGACAAGCTCTTCCCAATCGGCGAACGTCTATTCGACCTTCCCCTAGACGAGAAGAAGAAATACGACCTCGCCAGCCAGAACTCCTACTACGGATACAAAGCGCAAGGCGCCATGATAGCAGACAGACAGGGCAACCTAGACGGGAACGAATTCTACAATGTTCTTATCCCATCCCCATTACACCCTCCTACACACATACTAACACTCACCCACATAGGTCTCCAAAGACGACATCCTAAACCTCATCACACCCCCCCTCCCATCCCCCCAAATCCTCCAAGAATCCCGTCCCCTCCTCTCATCATTCATCCAAACCTCCCACAACATCGTAACCCTCCTCCTCTCAATCCTAAGCACCAGCCTCTCCCTCCCCTCCTCTTCCACACTCCCCAACCTCCACCGTCTATCTGCCCCAAGCGGGGACCAAATCCGCTTCATCAAGGCCCCTCCTACCACCACCACCACCACCCAGAACCCCACCCTAGGCGAACACACCGACTTCGGCAGCGTCACCATCCTCTTCAACCGCCTCGGAGGCCTCCAGGTCCTCCCTCCCGGAGCGGACGCAGAATGGACGTACGTCCGCCCCTTACCCGGCCATGCTATAATCAATCTCGGTGATGCGATGGTGAAGTTCACGAACGGGCTGTTTCGGTCAAATATTCATCGCGTGGTCGCGCCGCCGGGACAGCAGGCGGGGTTCACGCGGTATAGTCTGGTGTATTTTGCGAGGCCGGAGGATGAGGTTTCTTTGCGGCGGTTGGAGTCGGATAGGATTCCGGCGTTGGGGGAGGGGGTGGTCGAGGAGGAGATTAGTAGTAAGGATTGGGTGATAAGGAGGGCGTTGGGGAGGAGGGTGGATTTGGGAAGGCCGGTGGATTATGAGAAGGCGGCTGGGACGGAGGGGGTGAGTAGGAGGTTGGGGGTGTAGAGTTGGGAGGTTGCAGTATATTCACGATGGTTTTCATTTCTGGAAGAGGCGGTTACAGGAGCGTTGGGGTACATGGAGAGGTTTCTTATATGATTCCTCTTGGCAGGGGTATACTAGATGGTTATGTTGATCATAAAAGTAGCCAGTATCTAGTGTCTGTAGTTTATATGATGAAAATATGGCAGACGATAGTCAGAGCCTTGGTAGCATTACTGTTTTGTTCCTTCATTTGCTGTAGACTTTTCTCGTGCAACTAGGACATTAAACTCACAATACAGTCAACAACTAATACTTCACTCAAAATCATCAGGATAATCATCCTCATCATCGAACGGCAGGCCGTGCACATCCGACATGCCGCGTCCAGTGGACTCCTGAATCTTCTGCATCTGATGCCTCGACTGAGACTGATACAAAGCCATTTCATCAAAGTCTTCACGTCTATCAACTTGCCACTGCTGAGCACCGATAGTCCGAGGAGATCCTCCACCTCCACCCGCACCACCTACAAAATCATTCGCACGACCACCACCACCACGACGCCGATTCCTCGGAGACGACATAACCTCCTCAGAAGCCCTCATAGACTGCTGGCTATAGCCAGAAGAGAATCTATGCAGAGCCCGATCCCCCGACATATTAGGCACCCAGTCATCTGACCGTAACCGTTCAACAAAGGCGCGATGCGCCATATCAGCTCCGAGGACGCGCGAGACATAGTCATAGAATTCCTTGGACGCAGCTGCAACTTGCTGGACGTGCTTAACCTGCAAGAAAACCGGCTTGGACGTTTCCTCGGCCTCGAATTCCGCCAGCGCGATGGCGGTTTGACATCCGTTGCGAATCTGTCGCCCGTTCCAGCGGGTCCTGGATTTACTGTTCTGCTCCCAGTTTGCGTCAGCCCACTCCAGGATGGGGCCGGTGTCGATGGTTAATGATGTCTTTCGAGATTTGGCTTTTTCTAGATTCATCTCCCAGATGGCGTGGTTCTGGCCTTTGTTAAGCCCCGGGTAGTAGAGAGCTAGGTGGATGCGAGAGACGAAGGCCTCGTCGAAGGATCCTACTCGGTTGGTGGTCAGGAATAGTAGGCCTTTGTAGTATTCTAGTACTCGTAGGAAGACTTTTTGTTTGGAACGTCAATGTCAGTAAGGATGGAAGTCCCTGTCAATTAGAGTCGAAGGGGGAGATGCTCACCTGATACAATGGCATTTCTTTCCAACTCCGTTTTGCTGCGCGCCGCAAGGAAGACGTCGGCTTCGTCTAGTAGTAGGACGCAATTCCACGCCTCAGCCTGGGCAGATATACGATTCAGCTTGTCTTCCACTACTTCCGCGCTTGTCCCCAAGTCACCGCAGGTGATCGGATACAGTGGTCTTTCAAGCCAAGCCGCCATACATTCAGCAGTCGAGGTCTTGCCTACACCCGGCTCGCCGTGGAGCAAGATAATAAGGCCTTCTCCTTTTCCTTTGACCACATCCGGATCGATTTGTGGGCTTTCTCCATCTTCCTTCGACTTTCTATCTGCAAAGTGGCGCTTCACCTGCGCGTAGAGCATTCTCTTGTGACCCGGCCGCAATTTGAGATTTTTCCAGCCATCGTCGGTAGGAACCGGACGCATGCATTCGAGGTCGCAAAGTGCCCAGCGACGGCGATGGAGATCCCATGCGCAAGCACGGTCGGGCATCATAACAAGCTCATCTTTGCTCCAGAATTCCTTCCTAGTTACTTGCTGTTCCGGGACAGGCCCTTGCCGAGCCAGGAAGTCATCGTCGCTGATAAAGTCCTTGGTTAACTCTGCGTCCACCCAATCGTCGTCGTAGATCGTTTCGGAAGACGATCGAATATATTCCTTAGACTCGCGGTTTGCTAGTACTTGGATATACAAAGATTCGGATACTTCGCTTCCTGTTCCTCCCATGGTACTGGGAATCGACAAGCTGGGCACCCAGTCCGGGTCTTCGTTGCGGGCTGTTTTGAAATCAACAATGATATTACCCTTTATATAGTCGGTCCGTCTGTTAAAGCTTCCCGGGCAGGATGCGCCATCCATGTGGCATGTTAGGGTGGACCCCGAATAGAAACGATGTTGTGGGGTAGCGAAGGTAGCAAAGAGCTCGCCTTGCTTCAATAACTTATCGCGCAGCGCTGGGTAGCCGCTCACAAACTGAGTCGGGACTATGCCCAAAGACCGAATGGGGCGCTCTCCACTGAAGTGAGGAAGATGAAAGTCTCGTGAAAGCACGCCGAATTGCTCTCCATCGTATCCAATCTTATAAAGTCGGATGACGAAAGGGTTAACCCGTCCGGAGTAGCTGGAGTCCAGGACTGGTCGTCCCTCAGAAACCTGCAGCACTTTCCATATACTTGGACGATTGGTTGGCTGGACATGTGGTGCACTTTGCTCCGGAGTGAACCAACAAACCACCTGCATACCTGGGTGGAATAGATACCATAGATTGCTGAAAGAGATTGTTGGGTCAATAGTCGATGGGCCTGGAGTGAAGTTTTTCAGTAGAGCACGATGGCGGCTTATTACCGGACTGAGATGACGATCCATGAAACTGACAAGGCAGTCGAGCGCACGAAAGGCCTGACGAGAATCAATTGGCTCTTTGCCTGGCTCTAGAGGTGTAGGATCATCCAGCACCTCATGTCCACTCTCTATTTTCCATTTAGCAGCGAGCTGTCGATGCCGCTCGCGGATCTCCTCGTCGTATCCGACGAGTACTTTGTATGGGCGTAAGATGACAAATGGGGCAGACTGGTCAATCTTGGAAACAATATCTTTCAAGATGGACGCTAACAGACTGGAGTTGATTCGAATACGCTCAGGGAGATCATCTTCGGCGCCGCCAGTATCGATTTTGGGCTTCGGATCTCCTTCTGGTTTCATTTCATTCTCCTCAGCCCTGATCAGGGCAAGGATTCCGAAGCGGCGGATGCTTCTCTCGATTTGCTGCCAGCAATATTGCGCAGGACCCTCCAAGACATCGATGACGTGACGTTTTTCCTCGGCATACATCGTCTTGAATTCGTCCCATTTCACGTAACGGAGATCCATAATAACATCATCGGAATCATCGCATGGGTAATGCCTGGTCTCTTCGTCTTCCGTATCGGTGGAGGCAGAGCCATTATGGCTGTGGTTGTCATCTTCCTCATTGTTTGCAGCTTGCTCGGGAATCTTAGCATGGTTTTCTTCGAGACTTTGAATTCTAGCGCGAAGATCCTGTAACTCTTTCAACAACTCCAGAGAGGCGTCCTGGTTCAATAGCTTCGTAGGAGTATCGACCGGGATCTCCACTACCGGCTCTTCAGTGATGGTCGCCATGCTGGGATGATATTTCCAAGTGTAAATCAGAACGACTGGCGAACGTTCATGCGAAGCAGAGTCACCACATTGAAGGGCCAAAGACCATGATTCCTGTACTGCTCTTCTGAGTGTGGCTTTATATGCCTGTAGGCTCTGCACATCTCCTTTGAGACAGTTAAGAGACGTGCGCTCTAGCCAGGAAAGACATAGCACTGCACATGTAACCCACAACGAAGCTTATTGTAGTTCGGACCCCCGGAAATGAAATCTGGCAAATGAGAAGCTGAGGATTGTGGTCAATACGAACTATGGCTGTCTAGAATCGGAGTCTCGGGCTACCGTGCATGAACTACATGGCGAGACCGTGTCCAATATGCAACACTTGTTCAGCTTTGTGAGATGGCGTTCTTTATGTGCCGTCATTGCATGAGACAAACAGTATCCAACCACTCCTAATTCAGAGGAGCTGAGAGTGGCTGGCTGAACAACCTGGAGATAGCATCTGGCACAAATAACAGCGTGAGAAATCCCGCAAGTGCACGGCTTCCCCGCCTGTAAACCCGCATGGAAGGAGCCATCTGCACGATAGCAGTAGGGAATGACTCGTACTTCTCCGCGGGCTGGACTATGCTTACTAGTCAGTTTGACCTTCTCGTACGGGGAAGTCCGTGGATACGTAAAGACCTAGCCCCTCAAATGTCGATAAAGGCTGAAATTGTCAGGCCGAGAATCTCATTTATGGCATCCCTTCTACGTGATTGACGGCGCGACAATACCACGAGCGCCGGATTCACCCACCTGTAAGCCAGCAGGGTAGTGATTCGACTGCACCTGTCTTTGTGGCTGAACTATGCGTGCTAGCCAAGCTGGCCCGATCACGCGGAGGTCCTATAGACGTAAGACGAATAACGCCCACATATCTATACTGGTGAGCCAGATAACGAAGGCAATAGTAGCTCTGAGAAAGGCAGCAAAACCATCATAGCCGCAGGCAAAATGGAGTCATCTTTGATGCCTAGAATGAGTCCGGAGCAAGAAACTCACATGACAAAAAGCTGGCTTAGAGGACATGGCCATCGACTCCGGTTGCCGCTTTCCCACAAGACCCAGCCAGAGCCATCAGCCCCGATCGAACCCGCAGACACCCAGCAAGATCTTAAGGAAGAGTGAGGCGATGTGATGCTCCTGTCTCACTATGTTCTGACCCTTTTATTCTAGTGTCAACGAGGTCGATGAGTTTTGCCAAGTCATCCAATGCTATTCGAACGAGACAAAGAATAGTAGTGAGCCCAACGGTGGCCATGGAAGAGAAAGGTTCGATATATACGGCGCGCACAGCTGGAAAGAGGTAGTTAGTATCGTCCAAGCGGTCGAGAAAGACTACAATCACAGCGCCACTGGCTGGAAGGGGGCTGCGAGACGGGCCTTTCGCATACTCGGCGAGCATGCAGAGGACTTCAACCCTTGGTTGGACCTTTTGCCGGATGACAAGTACTTTAGCATTGCTTGTGGTGGACTCAAGATAATACTTGGTGTTAGTACGCTATGTCCCTGGCTTCATGCATACTGATCGAAGTAGATGGCAGCGCGAAGAAGCGAACAGCGGGAGGTTATTCTTGCATTCTTTGCTGAAATTCCAGAAATTATCTTCTGGACCGATCGCTACCATTCTCTTTTCCAGGACGAGGAGGGTTTGAAGTCCTACCTGTACGAGTTCTATCTCGCTCTCCTGGCCAGAATCCAGGGAATGATTGCAGCGTTGGTGGATGTATCACTTTGTAGGTGTCGTCGGCTTTTAGCTGCAGCGGAGATGACACAAATCCAGTCCTGTACTAACATGCATCTTTGTCTCAGGGAGAAAGATTATTTCGGGTCTGAGAGTGAAGAATGCAGACAAATCGCTTGGACATGTCAACCAACGCTTCTCGCGGGCCAGAACCCAGCTCGATAAACATCTCCAGTTCGTGCGCGATCGGCTGCAAGTGGATACAAACCAACGAGTCGTTTATATAAAGCCGATCGTGGACGATCTGGCAACAGGGCAGAAAAAAGTGATTCAGCAAAATTCAGATCTGCGAAATGACATGCGCGAGGGCATAAGTCGACTGGAAAGGCGGTTGAAACCATGGAGCGTTGTCGCGGAGCAGATGGAGCAGGTCCTTCAAAATGAGTTGCAGAAAGCGCAGTGTAGGTTCTTAGTGCTGTTTCTATTCAACTCAGACATTGACTTTGCACTTCAGGGCGGATTAACCGGGAGAACATACAACGAGAGAATCGGCAGTGGCAGATTATGCGCCAAGGGTATCCCAGAAGCGACCTCTACTTCTTCCTTCGCTTGGAGGAGCAGGACGTGCGGCAGCAGCTTATTCAAGATCTCGATGATACGGGTCGCGATGGACAAGATATTGATATGGCTGCTCAAACCCACGCTCAACAACTTCTCCGTATGCCACAATTTCAAGATTGGATCCGGTCTGACCAGCCAGACATGCTCCACGTCGACGGAAACTGTGACAACTATGCTATGGCGAGATGTTCTCCATTCAGTCTCCTTTGTTGCGTACTTGCCAATGAGCTACTACAGCAACCGCAAGCCCAGGTTCTATTCTTCTTCTGTGGACTGCACAACCTGGCTGGGGAGCCCATGGCAGGGCCGGTAGGTCTTGTCAAATCGCTCATCATACAACTGCTCCTGGATAGGGACGACAAATATGATCTCCTTTTCCTGACCATTGGGCGGAGAGAAGAAGCGTTGTATCAAAATGATCTTCCCTCTCTGTGTGAGACATTTAGGGAAATGCTGGTCCAAAACCCCTCCGCTGCTCTATTCTGCATCATCGACGGTGCATCGCTCTTCGAGGTGCGAGAATGGCATGAAGAGATGGAGTATGTTGTTCAGCAGTTGTTCAACCTAACGACTGATCCGGACATTGCAACGGTGTTCAAGGTAATTATTACGAGCCCGGGTATTAGCCGACTCGCAAGTGGTGTTCCCCAAGAATGTCGCTTGTATGTGCCAGAAACCAACGAGAGAACCTCGGATGCAGGCTTCCGGAGCCCAGAGGCATTTCAAGACGAAGTTTATCGCCGTCGAGAGGACTTGGCAGATACTGCAGGGAAATATGAGGTCAACCCATATGAGGCAATGTACAAGGTGGACATGTACAGTGAGGAATATGAGTAGAAAGTGAGCAGCACTATTAGGAAGTATGATCGATCATGGTGATGAACTAAGATAGCGACAATTCTTTCGACGAATCTAAGTTGTAGAGTTGAACGATATATTACAGTTGCAATAGTACTTACGCAGTTCTCCATACTATGTTGCTCTTTGATATTCTATGTCCACACAATATTAGTGAATACGTAATGCAAAGTGCCTTCGAGCCCATTTCCATCATCTCTTGCCACCACTGAATTCTTACTAGCACATATGCAAATATACCACTCGCTCACCTCATCTACCTGGCTATATTTACCCTCAATATAGCTACTTACATCCTAAACCAAAACGACAACAAACATAACAAAACCAAACCAGTGAAAAACACAATACACCGACCCAACATACCAGCAAATACTCCCGTACAACCCTACGTAAATAACAAACGTAGGGTGCCTGATAACCCGCCAAGAAGGCAACTACGCATACATGCATGCACAATAGGAATGAGTCAGAAAGAAGCAAAATCAAACCCAGCCCACTGGCACATCTTTTTTTCATTTCTTTTTCTTACAAGGATGAACTCCTATTCGGTTCCGGCCTGTTGGGTCGCCATACCTGAAAAAGAAATGTCCACATTAATCATCTGAGTTTTGCTTTCTTTGTTTTGTTCTTGTTTTTGCTTTCCTTCAAAGTTTGGTGGCTCGGATCGGTGAATACATACTTAGCAAGTAACTTTGATGGTTGGGAGTATCTGTGGGTTCGGTCTTGGTTACTTTCTTGGGAGGGGTGCGTTAAGTGGCTTTTTCTTTTGTTTTGTTGTCAGTCTTATATTTATGTTTATTATATGTTACTGTGGTGGGTTATGTGGTCATGCTACTCTGTATTAATGGCATGATAAGAGCTAGGAATGAAGTACTACTCCGCTGTAAGTATTGGAAAACCATAGAAAGTAGAAAACAGAAAAATCATTAATCCAATAAATCGAATCCCGTGTATTCCGTACCAACAGAGTTTACCAGGATCTTCAATCCCAAGTAACCCTGACCCGACATGCCAAGAAAATGATCGATGCAATGCATGGATGGATTGCCCTGTTTCTGGTTGATGGCAATCAGTCAGTTGACAAATCGCCAGATACTTCCGGTAGGCAGGGTGGCTGCGAGAGAACCCTTCCACCGGAGCGGTAAGCAGCAGGCAAGCAGTTGGTATTTGTGCGAGGGTAAGCGGAGAAAAAGTAAACATGATGGCTGGGGATGACGCAAGTGGGCGGATGAACGCAGTTATATATATGGCAAGGTTTGATTTGGGATGAGTGTAAAGTATTGAAAGATCGGGAATTTGTCATTGTCTTGTATGTATGTCTTCAATGTGTTCCTTTTCTACTTCAATGTGCTGTATACATTCTTTATGTTAGAAAGTGGCTCTCTTTGGACTTCTCGTCAGATGTATTCAAATTAAAATATTCTTGAGCACTGCAATATGTACAAACTACATCACAGCAAGTAGCATATGATGCAATGACAAGGAAATGAGGATATCGTCCAAGATACTCGGTAGATATCCGCAATTCCCCGGCGGGTCGTCGGCGGACCGGACCGTTTGGACTGGCCCATGGTAACTGCACTGTATTTCCATGTATCCCTCAAGGTATGATACAGTGGCAGTTTTATAAAGTGTGTATATAGATAAGGCATGCCATGGTCATCACCAGGATGACGCTTCACGACTCGGAAGGTCGGCCAATTTGAAAGAAGAAAGAAGCAAGAATCATCTAGCCCCCCTTGATCGACGTAAGGGGCTAGTTTCTCACTAATTGTCCTCTTGATTACAAGATTGTCATCATCATGATGATAAAGTAATGTTACACAAGATTATCAGAAATCCTTCCGTAAGTATACACCGGATGTTGTCAAGGAAGTATACGCACCTTACACTCACTCCGTCCCCTCTTCGTGTCGACAATATCTTTTTTGGTTGCTTTACCAAAAGAGGCAACATATTTCGTTAAGAGGTAAGGTCATGAAGCCTTGAAGCGAGTCGGTCTACTATCAATTATCAAAGATGCGAATTGCTCGAACATAAATGAAACACTTTTTTGAGTTTATTCCTAGACACGGACTTCCAGGCTGTCCGCTAGCTGTCATCGGAAGAGGAGCTTTGCACATCACACCTCGCGTTCTTCAGGCTATTGCACAGCCTTTCAACTAAACATATAGTGTTCATCAAGTCATTGCACAGCTTATCCACATACTGATTCTCCTCTCTTGGAATCCATACATATTGCACATCTCCCTTCTGCTTAAGCCGGCTATCGAGAACCACTGCTTTTTCAAGGAGATCTCGGTTTGCTACCTCAACTCCTTTACGATTCAGCCATCCGTTTCTGATCCATTTGTAGATCCACTTCTCCATGCAGCTCACTGCATATGTCGAGTCGGAGTATATCGTAACATCCAGCCGAGGATCCGAAACCAGTTGCTCAGACTTCTTCAAAGCCATCCTTAGACCGAGGATAATGGATGTGATCTCAGCTCGTTGATTCGTCGGGGCGGTATATGAAAGCAAATCTTCTGTTGTTTCCCCATAGAATCTGCCGGACGCGCTCTTAAAAGCAGCGGCCGCAGCCCCGATCGAGCCTGGCTGGCCGTTGGCTCTACAGCCACCATCAACGTGGATCTTCATGATATAAACCATGGTGTGATGGTGTTTCGAGAGGAAGACGTGGGATTAGGTCTATAGCTACTGCGGATAAGCAAGCCTTCTTGTAGGCGCCCCCAGGCATCCAAAGCACGCCTTTCCGCGGGTATCTCCATGGATGTATAGTTACAATTTCCAGAGGCTTGCCTAGATATCCCATGAAATCTTAGCAAGTGGTGCTTCAAGTATTTGAATGGGCAGTTCCCGGCGTTTCCCTGTACCCGCGATGCGTGTTTAACTATTACCTCTTTCATCTTTGCCTGTTGTTTTTGAGCAAATACCTTCAAAGCTATTGGCAAGTCCCAGGATAGACATGCTGGTAGATAGTTTTGATGCATTTGAGAAAATTATTTACTTGTCAAACCTTACTATACTGTGATAGAGACGGTTCCATGCTGTCGAGCTATACATCAACTAGATAAGAAGCAAGAGACCAATGCCTTAGCAAATCAGTCGATTGATAATAAACAATACCATTTCCAGCTATCACAGTCTCATTACTTTCCTACCATATTAAACCTCCTAAGCCGGAATGACCCCAGTACTTAGTACTAGTCAAACCTAACAGAACCCATCATAGCCATCTCGACTCGATACACACACCCCCCCCCCCCCCCCTCATAAACACTATAATCACCCCATCCCCATCCCTATCCCTACTTACATCCCACCTACAACCCACATCTACAATTACCCTCCTCAACCCACCAAATGATCATCCGATCATCCGATACCCACCACCCCAGAACAGGAAACACCCCTTCGACTGAGCCAGAGCATTCCATTCCATTGCATCCGATCCCGAGTACCATTCGTAGACTAACACTACACTTCCGTTACGTGGATGAAGTGGATCCCCGGGTAGTCAAGGTATTACCAAATATGAATAGGCACATTACCTACTAGTAGGTAGATGCGGGTAGAGCAGTTAATGGGTACACTACGTACCTTTGTACTTTTACTCTAGACTTACGCGGGAGTCCGTGCTACTCTATGTCTCCCTCTGAGGGCTAAGTACTAAGTACTTTAGGTATCAGCGATAGCGTAGATCGCTAAATAATAATAACACTAGTCTAGAAGTATTATGTCTCCTCTTAGGGACTCTAACGAGTCATGAGATGACATGTTAATTGTTAATATCGGGAAGAAAGGAAGAATAATAGGAGAGTGGAGGGAAGATCAGCATTGGGGATTTATCCTGTTCGGGGTAAGCGTAACGGCTGGTAGTCTGTTACTTTGTTGGGAAATAGGATGTAATGTAGGGTGGGTGTGGGGGGAGAGTATGACAGCTGGATCATGACTGATCCTGATTTGGGTACTTATCTACTACCTAAGTAGTACTTAGGAGGATGAATGATGTAAAGCAATGACATCTGCACCTACATTACTTCAAATAATGCAAAAACAACATCAATCCCTACTTGCGTCGAAAATACACATTTCCATACAACCTCTCTTTTCTAAATCGTTTCGAAAATTGTAAGTATAATAATAATAATAAACCCCGGAATATAACACCCTGCAGACCAGCACAATGCCACAAAGAGTAAGTACTATGCTGCTTGCTGCGCTGGTGGCACAACACCCCCTCACTCAACTCACTCAACTCACACCACACTACACTACACTACACACCAACCCAACCCGACCCAACGGGTCACCTTACTTACTTACTTACAGTAATTCCATCACTTTGGACTCACCCATCCCGGTAACTTAACATACCGTCTTATGCATCGGCATTCCGCATTGGGTCCTTGGCACAGCGAGACTACCGTCTACCTGCATTTTTTGTGGGGAATAAATAGACCCTACTCTGTATTCCTGGTTCAATATGATGATAGTATCATACCTAAAGAGAAGAAGTACTTACTACCTATACATATATATATATATATATATATATATATTTCTTTGTCTTGTGGTAAGATAAGTAAGTTACACAGTATTTATCTATCCATCTACCTATCTACAGAGGTGAGAGCCAGACCCACTTTATTTTCTGTTATTGTGTACACAGTACACAACTGTAGAATAGCTGATAATCTCCTCATATGTATTACGAATGAATAATCTACATAATATAAGTACTATAACCCCTCCCCTCCAACAACTTACCTACTATCTATTACTAGCACCGCACTACTACCATCCCACCAAACGTCCATGAAATGATCCGTGCATGAACATGAACATCCGCTATCCGGCCGAATCCTCCTCTCCCTTACGGGATTTGGTCGGCGTTTGCAATTCAACACTACCAAAAATTTCTACTCCGTATCTGCGCGAGTCAGGGGTAACACATCGCCAGCCTCATTGGCAGTACGTACGTATCGAATAATTTATTTTAGTGCGTAGGGGCTATTTATTGTTTTTTAATTTATCGGGTTTCCGGTTTGCTGGGACCGGGAAATTGGATCAACTTGATGAAGTATTAGGTTAGTAGTAGACACACCGCGTGAGGGATGTGGGCAGTGTCTGCATCCATCATCAGTCCTCATGCACAGTGCTCGGAAGAGGATAACCAAGTCACCGGGAGTTGGACAGGGAAAAGTACTTCCTGCCCAATGGACAATTAATGTCAAGCCAAGAGAGCTTTGCTGTCACACACACTCCCTCTCTTCTTACTATAGGAGAATTTACCCCCGTGCATCATGCGATGTGCAGTCAACTTGCCGGATGAGAAGAAGAAAGACAACGCCAAAGCGCCGGGAACCAGACCCGGCCAACATCATTCTTGCGGGGCAGTGGAGCTAGCTGGGTACTCCCTGGAAGGATTCAGGAGGCCAAGCTGATGTTTGCTCGATCCCACGCCAGCCATCATTTTCATCGGGGGGGGGGTCTGGATCCCTCGACCTAAGGCCAGGGTACGGAGTATACCGTTACTGCTGCTGGTTATTGGTTGATAACGGCCATTTAACATACGCAGCGGGGCGTACCGATTCCCACCGTGCCATTTAAGTTGGGACCACGAGTGGCTCCGGTTGACCCGTGGCTTTGGCCTTTCCCGACCAGTTGGCTGACTAGTGGCTCCTGCTCAGCTTAGTTTGCAGGGCATTGTGCCACCGTTCAGCTGGTTCGCCACGGCGTTCAAGCTAAGCATAACAAGAAGATTACACAACAGGGAGTAACCAGGAAAGAATCAGGTGCCACAGAGTAACATCAGGATTCAAACAGTGCTAGGCCCGCCAACCATCGTTGCATCTCAGTGCCTTGTGGCACTCGAGCTGCAGAGGTTAAGCTTGCTGGACTGCTATTCTTGTCGTAGGGAGCGAGCACGTAAGTGAACAGACGCAGCCTGGCAGCCAGTGTAGGCCTGACTTGCCATTTGCGCTGCAAAACGAAGTAGATTGATTGTATACCAGCCAACTATCTACCCAGTACTGATCCTGACCTTTGCCAATCGCTCTTCAACCCGTCGAACAATTTCGGGGTCTGGTTTTGGTTTGTCACGGCGAGGTCTGTGATGTATTAGCACTGCATGGGCCACCTTAGCATGTCTCACTTACGGATCTCGTATTGTTTCAGGTCCCTTCTCTTGCCCGCAACCGGAGCAATTCCTCTCTCCCGATCGGTACAATGTCGAACACTTGTGGCATGTATAGCGTACTCGCTGCCGCGCCTTCTTCCACGTCCGTGCAGGAGGTTCTGCGGGAGCATCGACATCTCCAGGATAGCCATGCGGATATTTGCCGAGTTTAGGTCTGAGTTCGTTAGTACAGACGCCTTCAACAAATGCAATTGGTCTGGGGTGGACGCACGGGTCGCGAGGGCACATTGTGCACCGAATATGCTGGCAAGTACTGCATTCCGTAGCATCCGGAGCGAACACAGTGCTACACTGATGACAAGTACGGCGGACTCGTTGTCGGGTCGGGTGGTGGATGACATCCTGGCCGCCGGTGCGCGAAGGCAGCGTAAGAGGAGGTTGCTTGGGTTTATGCTGCACAGGGACAGTTTTGTGCAGTTTCTGCGCGACAATGGCCTGGAGCGCAGCTTGGGTGTCGTCCCGGTGGTCGTTGGTCTTGGTGGAGGGGTGATGAGGGCAGCTCTTGCAGCGGACGTGCTGGCAGTTGACACAAACTTTGTTCGGGCCAAAGGTGGTCTGACAGCGATGGCAGGTACGGCGCACTCGCATCCGGATGGGTCTGACAACTCGCTGCACGGTCGTATCGCTAGGGGACCTCCATTCTCCAGGCTCCAGGGTCAATCCGTATTTCGCAAATAGAGCCCGCGCCTTCTCTTCTTGGATGGCGCCCCAGTTGGTGAAAACGGTCGCATCGGGTGTAGCTTTGACGGTAGGAGCCTGCGGGATACGTTGGGGACTGTAACGCAAGTCAGTGCTACAACGTAACCAGAATTACTCGGCGATGAACATACGCGGGAGCTTGACTTGGCTCGGGCTCTCTTGTTTTCTGCATGACTGGCGAGGTGGTCCGGACAGTCGAGCTCCTCCTCAAAGCCATCTTCATGCGCTTAACATATTTCGACAAGCCATCATGCTTGCCTTCATTAGAAGGGGTGGGATCCTGTTGAGTCGACATTTCTCCGGTAATATAGTCGATCTTTATTATTGCTTGCCGGTCGTATTTAAATCAGATCATGTGTGGCGTCGCACGACATCGACAAGGCGGGTGACGGTTTTGGCGGTGTCGGAAAAGGTCGAACAGTGTAAAGACACTTTTGGGCGTGGGCGCTATTAATTCATACCAGCTGGAATCGGAAGGGATGGTGTTGAGTAATTATGGCGGTGATGGTTGGATTTCTGGGAAGCAAAAGCGCCGAAGAGCGACTACCCAAATTGGGGGGGGGTAACGACAAAGTGGGTGGAATAAGGTGGGAAACGAGGGAGCCACCGGTTAAGTATGGCAGGTCGCACGGGCGTGTACCGTAACCGTAGGCTTGGGACAACCCGACAAGACGGTGAGATGGGTGAGAAAACCCAACAGGAAGGGTCGCAGGGAATTGGAACAGCCTGGGGGCAAATCCAACGGGTGATTGGTTGAAGGGCGGTCAGATCCTGTGGACCGGGCGTGGATGAGATGTCCGATGTAAAGTATAAGGTGTGTAAAGTATGTAGGGGAAGGGGAGGTGACGTTGTGAAAGGATGGGTTGCAGTGGTTGCAGTGGTGGTTGCAGTGGAGGTGGTGGATTTGCACGCTGGGAGCGGAACAAAAGTCACCGGCCAAGATGGTGGAAAATTGAAGATTCACGACTGACTGACGGACTGACGGGGAGGAGAGGAAGATAAAAAAGAAGGCAACGACCAGCGCGAGCCGAACGTCAAATAGAAGCCGAACAGACTTTCTGGGGGAACCGGACGAGCGAGAGGGGGGTGGGTAAGGAAGTTGTATGTAAAGTAACAGTCAGTAAGTAAAAGTATGAGGTAGGCAGGCGCCTAAAGTAGTAACAAAGTATGGCACATGGCTTCTCACCCGACACTCTTTTCTATACCGTTGTGGTTATTTTCAGTTTATTTTAATTTCCCTATCCTCTCTTTAATTTTTATTCTCTTTATTTTTATATTTAATTTCCTTTCTTCTCCCATACCTGCATTGAGATGTACCTTCTAGATTTCACCTCTGCTTTATTAAGGACACCAACGGACCAAACATTGACATGAACCGGAGCCTCTACTAACAAAGTCAAAACTATGGATTAATTCCCCCCCAACCCATTTATAGCCAACCAGTCTATTCTCACTAGGAAGACTCCATACCCAGCTCCTATCGAAAATCAACTGCCCTGTTCTACCGTGAAGAAACCAACGATCAATTACCATGGCAGGAAGCAGCACGATCCGAGCGGGAAACAAAGGAAGTAAAGTAGAGAAGTAGCAGAAACGCTAGAATCAAGAATCAAGACCGATTAGGCAAAGCCGTGCGTCTCTGTTTTGCCGATAGGCCAATCTGGTTCAGGAGCTGGTTGGTTGATATACGCCTCTACATCCTCATGCAGCATGATGACCAGCAACTAGCGGGCGAACCGATGCGACGGGGCGCTTTGGGGGGATGGAAGATGGAGTCTAATGCCGTGGCACCCTACCCACTCTGGAACAATGCCCGAACCCACCGCGTCTCGCCCGCGGGTCTGAAGAAGGTCGCGCCGGAGGGGGGGTTGTTTTGTGTTTTGCTGATCCGGAAATATTATCAGCTTGATGCTCCTGATCTTGAGTGATTTATAAAAAATAGGGAATGAATATGAACATGACATCCTTTCATATCCGCGTGGTCGGAATCGGATGCTGCTGCTGCTGCTGCTGCTGATGATGATGTCAGCTGGAAAAAGTGAGCGGTTACCAAACATAACTACCGCTGGTATTTTCCGGGATATGCTTCAGACAACCAAAGCCCGTGTATTTTACAGTTCGTCACATAACCCCAACAGCAGCCACGAAGCTGCACGAAGACGATAGTGATGGGAATAATAGCAACGCTCTAAGTACAGAGTACATGGTGGTCAGTTATTAATGGCCCAAGGCTACCAAAAACGTTTCTGTGCATGGACTGGAGAGGATGGCAAGTGAGTTTGAGCAAATAGAGAAAGAAGCCTTACGTAGATGGCGGTGCCGCTGCTGCAGACACAACATGATGAAATGAATCATTGGGGGTTGCTTTACCCTGGCTCGGTTGGTTCGGTTTACTTCAATTTCACGCCAGGATAGCGAAGCGCCGTTCAATCAGGAAGCCCCATGGAGGATGGAACTACCTCCTGAGCTGAGACTCAACTCACTTCGACCGAAGATCCGGCCGAAGGATAGAAGAAGACTATTCAGGAGCAAGACCTACCAATTTATATTATATTAACTGTACCCGGGAACCGATTCCTAGTGAGAACTCTAAGGAATTGCAGTGTCATCATCGTGTCTGTCTCGACTGGTGCTGTTCATGACCGACTATCCCAAGTTATCCAACAATTCCTGCATAGATTCTGGTGCGACAATGGCTTCGGACATTCCCTAGGAAGGAAAATAAGGGACCAACTTACAATATTCCCATTTCATGGTTGCCTTTAACTACAAAGTAAACCCCAATATTGTAGACATCTCTAACAGTCTAAGTCTCTTCAATCACAACGAACCTCCCACAAAGTACTAGTAGGCTAAGTCCTACCCGCCCGGAAATTCTAGACTCCCTGACCAACAACTCATCACACAACGCTGGAACCATAGTACATACATCTCCATACCGAGGTATCCCGACAGATTGGTCTAGTTTACTCTGTGTAAATACAACATTCCATCCATCGCATCCATACAGCTAGACCATGCATTGCATAATGCATGACACCACGTCACACCACGATTCCTACCCTACCCTACCAAAGAAAAAAAAAAAAGAAAAAGAAAAAGAAAATAAATTAGAAACGGCAACGGCTTCATGCAGCCTGTCTTGTTCTACTGCAGTGTAGACGCCAACTCAACACGCTAGATAAGTACTTACCTGCACATTCATCATTCCTTTGCAAGTAACTGACACTGGCCCTGTAAGTAAGCAAGTATGTATGTATGTATGAAATGTGTATGTAAGTACGTACGTATCCAAGCGGAAAAAGTAGTAGCGCGAAAGTATAGGAATTTGTCAACAGTGAAGAAAAAAAAAAGACATGAAGCAACGGAAGAACTTTAACTTGCAGCTGAGCGCCTGACGGAGTAGATCGGAGAAAATATGAACCTACCGGATTGCGTTGGAGGGTTAGGTTGGGTTTGGGTTTTTGCTCCACTGGTTTGTACTTACTTTGAGTTGAAGGGTTGGTGTTGGGTGGAGAAATGAATAAGGATTATCTTTGTTGTTGTGGACACATGGTTTGATAGTGACGATGATGATGATGGTGGTGGTGGTGGTGGTGGTGGTGGTGGTGTTGTTATGCTTATTGTTGGAACCGTGGTTCTGGTTTTATTATTGCTCCTTGCTTTTGAGGGAGGAGCTTTTTGTGGTTGATTGTTGATTCGGGAAAGCCGACCGGGGAGGTACGTAGTAGCTAAGTAAGTGACAATTGAGTACTTAGAGATAGTACGTAGATAGATAGCCGACCGTCAACTACTATCAACTACAAAGTAGATAATACTCACTCACTCCTCTCTACTATTCAACACCGTACCGAATATCCGGAAACCAAACAAGAAAAGATGGACCCCGGTGCCAAACACCCGGGTACACTGGACTCGATCTATCAGACATCAGCACTTCACTTCACAGCTAGCCAGCCAGCCAACTACCTTACTTAGTAACCCGTAATCTGCAGGGCTGAATAATTAATTAATATAACTAGTTATGACAAAAAGAGAAAAAGAAGCAATCATGCCGAACACCACACCACACCACATCCCCTCAGTAATCAATCAATCAATCAATCAATAAGTAAGCTTCAAACACAGCTGACCGACCACCGATCTCCGTCTGGGTCAGAAAAAGAGGGGGGAAGGGGAAGGGGGGAGGAAGGAAAGGGGAAGAGCATGGGCCCAATCATAGTTCAGTGTTTCTTTGTATGGCCGGGATATCCAGTCCCAGCGCGGCGGAGAGCACCGAACAACTGAACCTTTCAACCTGTGGATGCCAGGCTGTCAGAACTCCTGCCTTTAGTGGAATGGTGAGATGTTGGTGTAGTGGAGATCCCACTGGGTGTGTGTGGGGGCCAGGTATGGAGCTAGTATTGATGGTGTTATTTATGTATGTGTGTATGTATGTTGTTTTCGTTTTACAAGTTAGGTATGTACTAAGTACTAAGTAGTTAATTGCTTGTATGGAGGAGGATTGATTAGGATCATTGGAGGACGTAGAAGACGTATGGAAGGTTCTATGGCTTCGATGGATTAATTGATTGATGGGTCTTAGGTAAGTAGAGATACATTGTAACTATTAAGTATCTCGTGATCATGTGTCTATGTTACATTGCATGCAATTATCATCTCTACTGGTCTACTACCTTGGTACTTGTAGTTCTACTACCTCTCATTCAACCGGAAAAGATATCCCAACAATATGTTCAACCTATTTCCACCCTTATATCATGATGATAGAAGTATAGGATGAGATATTTTCTCCATCTAACCAAGACACGTTCGATCCAACAACACCTATCTTCCTACCGCTATACACCCTTCCCTCGACACGCCATCATCACCTATCAACTGATAAAGATCAAGTAATAACAAACATCTACTCCGCACCACACAAAACAACCCCATCCACTACAGTAGATACTACCACAGACAATCCCTAAGTAAAAAGCAGATAGATAGCCCCAACAAAATAAACCGAAACAAGAAACAAGAAAACAAAAAACAAGGTTCAAGGCGCATATTTGCCCGAGTGGATCCCTCATCCAACCCAACCCAACCAGTTGGTACATTTAAGCTACTGACTTACTCCCAGGATAGAACATGTCAAACAGTCAACCCTGGAAAAGAATTCCGGTCTCATGTTTGTGATTACTTCTATCTAGGTGGTTCTTCGCCATGTGTATGTGTATATCATGGTGAGGCGATATTATCGATAGTCATGCAAGGGATTATAAAAAGTAGATCATGACAAATCTTGTCGGGGAATTTGTGATTGCTTATGAATCGTTTTGGGTAGTACGTAGCTGGCTGTGCTGTATGCCTCGGTTTGGTTCCTAATGGGTACTGTGATATAGTGTTTAGTGGTATAAGACTTCTCAGCTCCTATTGAGGTATCCGAATCTAACCTGATCATGTATACAATGCCAGCACTATAATTATAATGTAAACGCGTAGGCGTCTTGAATGACCAATATATAGGCCTCAGAGCCTACCAGACAATAGTAAATATGCCTAATCCGCGCTTTGCAGCTTCGACTCGATCGAGATAATATCATCCTCCTCATACACCTCAATCACCCGGTTAACCTCCGCCGTATTGCGCATCAACTCGACAGCACCCGCATACATCATGCGCTGATTCGGGTTGCAGTTCTCGGGGAGGTAGTAGAGCATAACGTAAGGAACCGAAGGACGACCGGAAGACTGATGCCAGAATCATACGTTAGGTCTATTTCACGTTTCTAGGTGACATAAGTAGAATACTCACCAAGGTCAAGGGATAGCTGAGGAGGATAAACCGAGGAGACGATTCCGGAAGCTCGTCGGCTACATCCTCCATCTTGGAGTAAACCTCGCCATCTTCAGGTCGAATCTCCTGGGTCTTGTTGTCGATGATATCTGTCAACCCTGTTGTCAACCACCCATTGTCCTATGATATCCGACGTGAGGCGAACAAGTTCGCGCGATAGCTGGACGGTTGTGCTCGTGATAGATAGGTAGGTAGAGAGCGGGGCTATGAAGGAACGACAGGAGACGGGATCCTACAAATAATGGCCTGCGGATCCTTGGCGCGGGAGGTTCCCAAGCGGAACTTGCGAAGCTTTTCTTTGGTCTCGGGGGAGAAGGAGTATAGTCGCGATTCAGACTGCATGGAGAGAAGCTCAGGTTAGCATAGCAGGGGGGAGGAAGCGGGCACGCGATGCGGGGCAGTCCATCCACTTACCATGTTGTGAATGGGTGATGCGACAGTAAGGCGGAAGCAGAAACAGGATATTCGGAAGTGCGCTAGAAGCAAGAGGAGTAAAAATCGGTAAACCCCCAGACGGGATGTGAGCGGGGATGGACGGGGGAGCTATCTGGTTGGGGATGAATTTGACCGAAGAGACGAAGGAGGAACAAGCAAGTGGTGGTTGCTCCGCGTTTTCGGCCCGGTGGGATGAAAGGCGCGGCACTTCTCCACCTCCTCCTCGCTCTCCTTCTCTTCCCATTCAATAATTCTCCTCCCCGCCCGCGCTTGTTTGTTACTCCGCCATTCCTCTCCTCCTCCCTTCTCCCTCATGTTCAGTCGTCTCGGTCAAGTCGCCCGCCATCTCACTCGACCGTCACTCAACCTCTCTTCCACGCCTACCTTCACCTCGCCCTCTCTGACCCCGCCCCTGCTTCGTACACCATCCCCCAAAATGACATCATCCGTCCTCCCGAAGAACAAGAGGACCATTCACACGGCGGCATGCCTGATCATTGGTGACGAGGTTCTTGGTGGAAAGGTAAGAAGCGAATGAGCTGTCTGGTGTTCAGCTTGTCTTTCTTAAGCATCGTGCATGACACATCCTTGGCTTGGACTGACAATTTCCGAACTGCCAGACCATCGACACCAACTCCGCCTTTTTCGCCAAGTTCTGCTTCTCCCTCGGCATCCAACTGAAGCGCATCGAAGTGATTGCCGACGATGAGAGCGAAATCATTGAAGCAGTGCGACGTATGAGCGACCGCTATGACTTCGTCGTCACCAGTGGAGGCATTGGCCCAACGTCCGTACACCCCCCACATCGATTTAAATAAAACCCCTATGCGATATGAATACTGCATATGGCTTGAAAAGCTGACTGATATATGATGTGAATCGCAAAAGCCACGACGACATCACCTATGAATCGATAGCCAAGGCCTTTGGTCTGAACCTAAAACTCCACCAAGCCGCGTTCGAGCGTATGAAGAAGCTCTCCAAACCCCATCCCATGCAGCCAAACTTCGACTGGGACACCCCGTCACCTAGTCTGACGGCGAAGCTGCGCATGGTCGAGATCCCTCACGACGAGTCTGTGCCTTTGGAGGAACAGGCTGTGTTTGTTGCGGATGATATGTGGGTGCCCATTGCTATCGTGAACGGCAACGTCCATATCCTTCCTGGTGTTCCTCGTCTCTTCGAACGGCTACTCGAGCATCTCAAGCCGAACCTGTTGCCTCGCTTGGTCAACCCGGAGGGAAAGGGCATCTATCGCTACCTGTTCAGCACACCACTCCCGGAGAGTACGGTCGCCCCCTACCTGACGGAACTTGCTACTCGTGTTGCTTCGAAGAACATCAAAGTTGGCAGTTACCCCCGCTGGGGTAATAAGCGCAACACTGTAACTCTGGTCGGCACTGACAAGGAGTTCATGGACTCGCTTATCGCAGAGGTGGAGCAGAATGTCGAGGGAACCAAGGTAACTCGAGAGGATGAGCTTGACCCTCCCTCGGACGCTGAGGAGGGCAAATAAGCGGAACGTTGGCGGTCATAGTATGTCTTTCCAAACAATAGTTGCTAGATTTGTAGACAATGACACGCTATTCCGGATATGCATGATAGCAGTGAGTGTATGGACGTTAGGATTCACGAACCTGCGTAGATGCGTTATCTTCGACAGTGTCCATCCACATCTGCCATTAGGAACACGATCTGTTCGAACAACGCACCAACCACTCAGATGTTGTTAAGCTTTGAAGACCAGCCACCAAATCTCCAAGACATCACTAGGTAACCCACTATAAGATACTAACCACAGAGGAAGTGAAGAATGAAGGCTTATTCTCGGAGACCAAAATTCCAGAATCAAATAAGATTACCCAATAGTTCAAGTGTATACATGAAGGAAGGAAAACCAGACAGACTAAGATAGAGATGCTTATGGCGCGCCGCTGCTGAGTGCAGAATAGGGGAAACAAAACCAGAGACAGACCAAAATGAAAGAGGGGAAGAGGAAAGAAGGGGAAACGGGCAGAGACGTTAGGTGGCACAATGATATCGCAACGTCTGAACACCCGACAGAAAGGAGTATAACGTGCAGTCCATCTCGCTAAAAAAGGTTCAGCTGAGATCCCGCCCGACAGTGCAAACTTGGTGAATGAAAGAAAGGACCAAACGTATCCCGGATGCATATAGGAAAGAGATCAATGAAGATGAAAGTAAAGACGAAGAGTTAAGATGATCAACGGCTGCTGAATGTGCAAAAGATCTGAATTGCTCGTCCAGCGTGGCCGACAAGACGAAAAGGAAGGATGATTCTGCAGCTCCGGATAGTACCACATGACATATGCGGACCGCGACAATAGCGTACCTATATTAATGCACAGATCTATTGACAGGCTCCGTTCTCGTCCTTTCAAAGATCGAGAAATCGTCAAAAAAAAATCAATCTTCCAAAAAGAGATAATAATAATAACAAACAAAATAGAGGAACAAAGGGGGAATCGAACGTTCATGGAGACGATGGCGGCATTAGGGTGTGAGAGCAGACATCATCTGAGAGTGAGGCTCGTATGGTATAATGATCACAAAATCAAAACGCGTTGACAAGCCACATGTTGCAGCAAGGCAAGTGGCCCGTCTCTGTTGCTGACCTCTCTTTCCAACCGGGAGTGACTGTATGTGTTTTTGCTTTCCTTCCGTATCTCGACCTGTATGTATTTCTTTTAGATCCAACGCCTGTCCATTACATAATTATACATTTTCCACAGCAGCCAGCGTCATCGCCAGGCTCGCTGACGTCCATTTTTCCTTCCGGGGCGCGTGAGCCGCCACCCGCGCCGGACGGGTACGATGACATCTCTTTGTTGAACCGACGAATCTCGCGCACCAGGTCGTAGAAAGCGTTCTCAACGTTGATACGGGACTTGGCGGATGTCTCGATGAACTTGCAGCCGAACTGCCGTGCTAGAGCCTCACCCTCTGTAGAGATAGAATCGTCAGCCAAAACCTCCCGCGACAAGCAGATGCTGGACCGGGAAACCCACCTTCTTCGGAAACAGCCCTCTCCTTTTCCAAATCGCACTTGTTGCCGACCACGATGATGGGGAAGTAGTCTTTATCCTTGACTCGCAGGATCTGTTGTTGGAAAGTCATAATTTCCTCGAATGATTGGCGCGACGTTATCGAGTAGACGAGAAGGAAACCTTCGCCGGTTCGCATGTACTGTTCACGCATCGCCGAGTATTCTTCCTGTCCGGCAGTATCTAGAACGTCCAACAATGCCACCTCCTCATCGATGACGCACTGCTTGCGGTAGGAATCTGTTCAAACACGAATCGAAAAATAAGCCACACGGTCGGAAAGGTACAGCAGAGCTCAGCGCCCACCTTCAATTGTCGGGTCATATTCATCCACGAAGTGGCTCTGGATCAATTGGATGGTCAAGCATGACTTTCCGACACCACCACCACCGACGACGACGAGTTTGTATTCTCTTAAAAACTATATGCGACCGAGAGGTGAGCGATTCGTCTTGTTTCCGGGGGGGGGGGGGGGGGGCGGCGAGGGAGTTCGGAGAACATGGAGAGAAAGTGAAAGGTCGGAAAGGGAGGTGACAGGAGGCACATGGAAGCTAATGACGGAAAGTGGAAAGCACAGCGACAAGGCTTACCTTTGAAGCCATTCTGGTAGGTTCTGGCTTGGTATTATGCTGTGAGGGAGGGAAGGGAAAGAGGGGGGAGAGAAAGAGAAGCGGTTAATCGAAGCTATCCCAACAGGAGCTGTGACAGCGGGTCGAAGGAGCAGCAACACAAATTTCTTTTGCAGAAAGAGACAAGACGAGCAAGAGTCGGGGCCCAGGTCGTCGGGGGTTTCGCGCAAAGCAAAGGCGCCTAAAGGGCAGTCCACAGCAACGGCGGATCTAATTGATTAGGCCAAGCTTAAAGCAGCAGACTGGGGGGGTAGTAGTAGAAGCAGAAGTGCGTGTGGGAAGCAGGATCCAGGGGGGGGTCGTGGAACTTTGCAGGCAGGCGGGAATCGAAAGGCGAACCGGCAGGGTTTCTGCGTAGTCTGCAGTTCGTCTTGACCCAATTCGTTTTAAGCGACCAGGGAATATGGAAAAGTCAAAGGGAACTACTTAGAACACCTTCGAGAATCAGGGTGGATTCAAGGAGGAGAAGAAGAAAAGGAAGAAGAAGAAAGAATAAAAAAAAGAAAAGTAAAAAGAGAAAAAAGGGAAAGAGAATGGGGTGGAGAGACTTGGGGAGGGGAAAGGGGAGAGAGGGAGACACAGAGAGAGAGAGGATGATGATTAAGGAGAGTTAAGCCAACTGAGGAACGGAGGTGGGGATAGGCAGAGCAGCCCAGAAAGGAGGAGTCTAGATAGTCAACTACTGAATACTAACTAATTAGTAGTGGACAGACAGACAGTCCAGTAGAAAGTAGTAAGTAAGTACTTAGTAGTATGATTGGAGAGGAATTTCTTCTTAACTAGTAGAGAACACAAGCCAAAGTCACAAAATGAAATAACTATGTAAATAATAATTATTTAACCGCGGGATAAGCGCCTTGATTGGTGTGGAACAACCCCTACCGACGCAGTGAAAAGAGCGCAACTTCCATGGAGAAATTGATATGATGCGGCTGCTGATTGGAAGGAAGGGGATTTCGAAGGTTCGCCAGAATTAATCTTACCATAATCACTAATGATATGATAATCCTCCTAGTGCAGGAGTCGGTTAAGTACAAAGGTCCTAGTCTTATCTGACTAGTACTGCTGCTGCTACTGCTGGTCTTTAAAAACAACAACTTGCCTCCGATTAGTGGGCAGGAACTATGAGTACTGTATTGAAAGGGGGGAAGAAGGGAAGGGAAGGGGAGAGACAGAGAGACAGAGACAGAGACAGAAAGAGAGAAAGAGAAAGAGATGAGCAGTGAGTGGGTGTGGCATTAACCGGCAACGCGTGTGGATTCCCACCAATCCAGCCAACTGTTTAATTTCACTGGTCCCGGTTGGCCCACCCGCCGATAATTAACCTCAATCGTCCGATCGCAAGATATGAAATGAACCTGAACAGCCAGCAGTCAGTCAGAAGTAGATTCCCCAGACAGACCGACGGCCTAGTAATTAAAATGGTTCTGTCAATCCTAGTTTGACTTATCTTCACCCAGTCCGATCATCCTTGACAGGCTACTGCAACGGTATTGGAACAAAAATGAGTCAGTCAGTGGGTGGGAGGAGGAAGAGGGAAAATGGTTGCATAGTGAGGTAGCCTGAAAAAGGGGGCCGGGGATCGAATTTCCAGGGCACACCCAAGATTAATGATCCATTGGGTCTAGTCTCTCGCTGTCCCTCTCTCTCTTCCTCTCTTCTCTCTTTCCCTCCCACTGCCAATACCCGTAAGTATTTGGTGGTTAATGGTTAAATAATACGATGAAAATAATTTAGTCCCCTGATACTATCTAGTTACCTGGTTCACTTACTTGGTATAATATAATGGATTTCATTTCGTATTGATGATCTGACCCAGCAGATACATACCACCACCACCAAAGCACTCAATAAATGGTGACTTTATTTATTAGCCTGGCACAAAACAATATAATCCCCGAATCTACTAGCAGTTATTATGCAACTTGATTCGACTACATGACTTGTGAGACCATTCCATTCATCATACTATCTATCTCTCTCTCCCAGATTAATCTTCACCAAGATCCACCCACTTTTTTTAGCGCCGGTCGTTAATGCTTCTAAATCGTCCAGTGTGTCTCCATCCCAACCTTTCCCCCCTCCCCCCCTGAGGGTCCTTTTTCCCCCCTGCTCACCTTACGCAACACAGTAAACGAACGAGTAGCTTCCGGATTCCAAGCCAATCACCGTGAATCCTACTGGGTGGATGCGCTCCTCTCTTGACTCTGCGTCCCGCTCCGGTTCCTTGAACAAGTGAACTCCTTCGGTCCCAGGGTGCAGTCTTACTTACGCAAGCACGGTACGAGATGCAACAAGACGAACACCCATTGCTAATAAGTTTCCCGTCCGACTCAGTCAAAACCTCGGAACGATCCATTGAACTAAAGGCCCTGGCCGTTACGATTTAATAGAAAAAAACGGGGGCGGATTTCCCGAGAGGAAGTTCTACTGGATGCGAGTTCTTACTGTGGGCGCGTGGAGAGGAAAAGAAAAAAAAGAGGGTAAATGTGTGAGTGGGAGACAAGAGAGAGAGAGAAAGACAGCATTCATCCGAGAGGTTCTTGTCCTTTTCCCGGCAACCGTTTTCCTTCTAGAAGGGTAGAAAACCATTCTCAGCCTTAACAGATGCTACCTGACAGCTCCGATTTGACACACCGAATTACATCATGATTCGAAATATTGAGTCTGGATTTGGCTTCGTTTTGGCTTCGACAGCGTCATGGAATTGTGTCCCTGAGGGAGAGGGGGGGGGAAGGGAATCTGAGTCCAATGGAGGGAGTCGTGCTCGACTAGTCCAGAAGAAGCCTAAAATAGCCCCAGAGGCCGAGTTCAGGATGTTCTCCACGCCTCCACTTTGCCAAAGGTGATATATTGGTCTGTGAGACCGTCCGATCCCATAGCCCAAGTTGTGCTACTCAATCAACCATTGGCGAATGAGGCGGCGACATCGATACAACTCCTTGCTCCTCCTTCGGTGATGAGCGGAGTAAATCCCAGATGATACCCTCGAGTGTCAAAAGATGACGTCCCGCAAATTTTAACCCCGGAAGTTACTGAACACATTTTTGCATCCTTGCATCCCAGCTGCAGCTGGGGGAGATTTTGCCTTGCTCCCCGTAATACCACTACTTCCTGCAGTGTCGTGCGTTGATCCTTTCCCACCACATGCGCTTCTCATTGAGTCTCTCCAGGGTGTTGTTTCCCTTATCTTCTCTTTCTGCTACTACCACCCTGGAGCGAAACTAAACCCACCCGTGTTCCCGAGCCATGGCACCCAAGCCACCGACTCAAGTCACATTGCCTGATTTTGCGCACAACTGCTGATCACGGAAATCTCTTCCATCCTACCGACTCGTCACATTGACAGAGCCATGGGCTTGATTTGGAGGCTACCCAAGTCTGGGTAACCGACCGCTCCAGCGAACAAAGATACGGCGGCGTCCCTGCGCCATACCTGCGGGGCCGTCCGGGCATGCGACCGAGATCGGTACCTGTCACCTAACCTGACTATCGTACCAGTCATCCTCCAGACCTCAATCCATGTGCCTAGATGCCCAAACCATGATCAAACATTCTCCTGCATCAACTACCAAACCCGGCAGAGCACTAATCCAGCTGCGAAGATACCCTAACCGAAGCACAATCCCCACCGCCCTCCGATGTGCGGTCTGCGTGTGCGTGCTTGCTTTATCTTCGAGCAACAAGATGGCCAGACCGAAACTTCAATGACTAGACAGCCATCAAACACGTCCACGACGTGGCCAGACCAGAAACACGGCATGCAGCATCAAGTCCATCACATTGAGACTTGCAGTAGGCAATGTACCTAGGCCACACACCCAGTTCAACTAACCTGAGTGGGGTCACTTCACAGTCAATCTTCTCTCTCCCCTCTGTGACACATCCAACGCCTCCAACCATGTCGTCAAACGTCAACAATAACTTTGTTCCATGACTGGCGCATATCAGAATGATCTGCGGGGTACCAAGACGCCAGATAGGCGTCGCTTAATCCATCACAACTGACTTTTGGCTGACACAAAACCCTGAGCCACAAAGGGGGTC